CGGGTTAGTAGGACACACGTCCCCTGTTTGACATATATTTAAAATCATGTTGTTGTACAGAAGGAGGTCCAAACATACTTCGATCAAACATGTTTGAAATGGTGACACATTTTAAAGGGAACTTCGCATTTTGCATGTTTTCATACTTCTATTTTGGCTTCGAGTGCTTCTACAAAAAACACTAAAAGGAAAAACAACAAGCCGTTTCCTGGTGAAGGAACTCAAAACAGAACAGATCAGATGAAATCTCAGTATATGAGAATAAATTTGTGTTTTAAATGTAATTAACATGTTTTCATAGCCCACACACCTATCCTAGATATTTCAAGGAAGTTTAATAGGTCACCTTGTTTTTTGGTGTCTGGAAATGAACTGTTTAAAAAAAAACTCCAGATTATTAAGTCACAACGGACAATGCGCCATTACCTGGCAACACATGCAGAGCTCCAGCCTGTTTTGGTCAGCTGGTTTTACCGCCTTATGTGCCGTACAATGACAGCTAGAAGTGTTTTGTTGTTAACTTACCCTCAAGAAATTACTTTCTGCATTCTTGTTGGTTGTCCAAGAGGCTCTACTTCTGCTTTTCAAAGATGTATGGTTGTATAATTGTACATCTGTTTGCAGCCATTTTCAAGTGTGAGTTGAATTGGGGGGCGTGGGCAGAAGCAGCTTATTTGGTTCAAAAGTGACATGAGACCTTAAAGCAGCTCAAAATCAGCAGACAGATTATGATTAAGCTGTAGAGAAGTTTAAACATGATTAGATAAAAATCCCAAGCTTTGTACAGTATAGCGCTTTTCAAGCTCTTATAAAAGAATGGGAAAAATAAGACATGATTAAATTTGATAGATTGTTTTGGGGTGTTTTCATACAGTCAGTAAGACTTTTATTCAGTGAAAAGTAATGACAATCTTAGCAGGAAAAGATCAAGTTTACTTCCAAATAGACAGAACATAAAGTTCCTACTTTATATGGTTAAACTCTGCATCAAAAGTAAGAAAAATACAGCTATTTTTCAGTTTTCATTTATTCCATGTTTTTATATAAAATGGGTCTTTGTACTTTACCTTCTCCATCTCGATTTTATGTGCTGTCTGAATGCATCAAAGAGCTTCAAGAATCACAGAATTAATTATAAGTTGCAATATTATCGGTTTCATGGCAATACTTTATTAATCTTTATTCTTCATCTGCACTCTCTATCTGTACAAACTGACAGTTAAACACTGAAAGCCACAGAATAAATATAATCTAGAGCATCAACGTTTCCACTGGCCTCAGTGTTTACAGATACTCTGTGGTGATGTTTGAGCATCATGGCCTGAAAAATTTGCATAGCTGCTGATTATCTGATGCACACTGCATTAATGCATGCACAGCATGCTAGCTCTGCCACAGCTAGCATTCTCTCATAACTTTGGATTCTATGTGAGTTTAAACTCTGTGGTGTAAATTACTGCATGCATCTGTGTAGTCAGCAGTACAAATTTAAAACGGCTGGAGTTAAAACAGCCTGATCTTTTTGTTCAACAGCAACCCGGGGACGCCTGCTCAACGCATTGGAGTGCCAACTACCAAACGACCGCACAAAGCCAGAAAAAAGTAGCTGCGATTCTAGAATAGACAAAAAATATATCTATATTTTTCAGTGGTGCTCATTCATCCCCACATTCTGATGCTGCCCTGGGCAACAGCATGTCTGACCATATCACCACAAGTAAATTTTTAAATGGCAGTGTATTTTGAACAAACATATTATACACATGACAGTGATTTCACATTGTTATGAGAACAATGGTGAAAACTCCACAAATGATGACCCACAATTTTGCACTCAATTTCCTTTAAAGGAGAAAATTGTGTAACTTCCTCCTTTAAATCATTCAATTTCAGTGAATGCATCAGATTTCTGTAGAACTGATTAAGACATTAAGGCATTTTTAGCCAGAAGTGTTGAAACAGGAAGATGTCTTAAACATTCAGGGTCTGGGTCTGTGAGACAAAAACTACCACAAGCTTCTTCTCCTTCCCACGACGCTTGGTTTTATGTAACATCATATAAAAACACTTACAGCTTTTCTGTGCAAGGTCATAAGATGTTAAATGATTGCATTAACATTGTTGTCACTCTATGTTGAAGAAATTCTAATTCTTTTCATTTGTTTTAACAATTGGAGTGATTGAAACTGTGATTATCTGAGAACATAATCCACTTTAGCTTCTTTTTTACAACTTTGTTCATCCATTTATTTCACAATGTGCTGGTAAGCAACCCATGGATCAAAACATTTCATCCAACTACCATTTTGTTGAACCGTGGAAACTGTGATTTTGTATTTTTGGATGATTTTGGTTCTATTTTGCATGTTTATGTTGTGTTGTAGTTTCCTCAAAAAGACACAACAGTCCCTAAAATGTTGCTATTAGCAGATACTTAAAAATCTGCAGCTCAAAGTTCACTCTGACCACATTAGTCTGGTGTTCTCAGTCCTGCTGTTACTTTGGAGATGACTTGTTACCAACATTTTATTTATGCACCGTCAACCTGTATCTATTTGACTGCTGAGCTCTAATATAAAACGCTGCTGGAACATTTTGTAAAATTTATTTCTCAATCTGTCGCTCCGTCTCGTACTGAGATGAGTTTTTGAGGAGGAGTGGGCCGGTAATCTGCAGACTGACATGTGAGAATGGAAAATTGAAAATTGCTGCCTTGCTCATGTTTCTAACCACACCACTCGGTTCGCATCCTGAAGTCCTCACCAGCAGGCTGAATAGGTTTAGCTTTTTCTAGAGACATTTAGGTAATACATTTATTTTATTCATAAATTGGGCGATATTTTCTGTACTTTAAGCACTTTTCTTGTTTGCCTGATAAAAGTTGTTGCCTGATTGCAATCGTTAGTTGTTGATTATAAACAGTTTCTAAGAAAATCAAAAGTTTTTAACTGTTGGACAACTGCACTGATGTATTAGTTGCAATTCATCCCAGTGCAAAGGTCAATTTTAATGTCTTAATTTTGGTTTAATTTAACTTTTAACCAAGATTTTAAAAAAATTAATTAATTAATTAAGTCAGAGTTTTCGCTGAAAAACGAGAATGGAGCTCCAGCTTAGAAAAAGAAAGTTAATTGCTAAATGTAATCAGATTAAGTTTGTCAGACTTACTTTATTTATGTTTGTTTAACAAGACAACTTAATAAAATTAATATATTTACTTAGATAAACTTAATTTGATTACTTGTAACATGATAACTCATTTTTTAAAAGTTGGATCACTACTTTCTTTTTGCAGTGTCAGGGTTTTGTTGATGACCCAATTATTTGACTCAGATCTGCTGGAACAGAGACGCGTCTAAAAGTTGCAGGAAACTGGCCCTCAAATGCTTTCACACCTGTGCATTAGGCTTTCACGCTCATATATTTATTATTATTAACATACATGCCCAAACAGTGTTATCACATTTAACTTTTTATTATTTTTGTATTTTCATAAAAAATGTGAAAATACAAAAATAAAAAAGACAGATGAATTAAATTAAATCTATCCAACAAAACACCAAATGGTTCTGGAATAAGGCTTCTCTAAAGGTGCATCTAGGTCTAATTTGTCTTCCTAAAAGCTCTCTTAGAGAAACTGAATCATACTTAAATGTATTTTATTCATTAATAAATTCAGGACTTGACTTGTGTTGTAACAATGTTGTACATTCAGTTATCAAGAAAATGCAGTGCCGTGCAAAAATATTTATTCCCCTTAAACTGTTAAACCACAGACTTGAATGTATTTCATTCAACACAAAGTTGAGTTGAAAGAAAATGATGATCAAACTTGTATTACAACTAAAAATCTGAAAAGTGTGGCATGTTTTTCTGTTAAACTCAGTATTTTTCAGAGCCACCTACAGTGACCACAGCTGCAGGTTTATTGTGATGCACCTGGTTTTATGTTTTCTGGACTCTTTTTATGAATTAGCTGGTCACTGAAGCCCAAAGGTTGCACTGGAATCTATTTAAAAGTGATTTATTTGTATTCTTTCATTTTACAGTTGTGGGTTTTTTGTGTGTTTTTAACATAATCTCAAAATAATGACATTTGCTGTTGTGTGAAACATTTTAAGGGATTTGATTATCTTTCCACTGCAGGTATTTTTGCCAATTGTACACATTGACAATATGAATGAAGGGAAATCAGCTGCTCTACAAATGGCAATATAACAATCTGTTGCCATGTCTGCTTTGTTTCAGCAACACCATCATGGATGGCGAAAACGTGGACTGGAAAGGCTGGTGCTTAGATGACGACGAAGTCATGGATCACCTGAGCCCCAGAGGGGAAGGATTGATGGAGGGAATCAGCAGGTCTCTGGCCGACATGGGCCGGCCAGAGATGTTTCCGGGTCAAGATGACGGAGAATACAGTCAAGTGTAGATCTGTAATCTGACCGGTCCCCTTCATTTAGTCAGATCAAGAACTGACTCCGAGCTCAACATTTTTAGGGAAAACAAAAGTAAAAAGATTTGTGTTGTTGCACAAGTAGATACAAATTATGATTTCTCAGTATCTAAATATATGAATCAGAGTTGATGTGTAAAGTATTGTAACATAGTCAGAATCAAAAATATACTGTATATGTTACCATTTTTAAAATGTAGATTTTCAGTGTGTGTTATTTATCAGATGCGTTGATGTTTTCTCATTCAGAAGGAGAATTATGTATATAACAATTAAAACCAACTTTATTTCTGTTAAGTGCACTTTATTTTTCAAACACTTCAGCCACTTTCAGAATGGGGCCAAAAAAAATCCACAATATTTACATCTGAAATAAAGTATAATTACAGTTTGAATTCCTTTATAGTTCCTGCTACAAAGTCTGCTATCAGCTTATTTACAAAATCTGTGCAAAAGAAAGCCTGTCATTTTTTTTTTTTTTTTTTTTTGCAAGAAAAAGACATTTCACTGTTTAGTACTAGGAACATCTTCCTGCAAAAATCTCTAGTAGGATGGGTTTTGTCACTTTTTCACTCGATCCTTTTCTCTTTCTTCGCGCTCGTTGGAGATGGTGTGAACGATGGTCTCCAGTGCGGGATACTGCAAGATCCTTCTCCTCTGTACAGAGAAGAGAATCAAATGAGATCTGAGCCGCATTTCTAAATGCATTCTTTAAAATTATATGAAAAAATAAGATTTGGGTCAAGATTTTAGATTTGGCATAATAGTTCAGGATTTGTGAAGAAAATAAATATTTCTAAATAAACTGAAGATTTGTTTACCCTTCGGTGATTCTTGTACATCTGAGCGAGAACCAGCAGCAGAATGACGAGGAGAAAGCTGAGCCCAATCACGGTGCCGCTGTTACTGGAGACGCCTGATGAATTTTCTCCACTCAGACCAGCTAAAGAAGAAGAAAGAAAACAAACTGTAAGATTTCCCAGAGAGATAAAACCAGCCTCCACCTCAAGTTCATATTTATTGTGGGTCTTACCCATTAGGTGAACTTGGGTGGTCACATTCCCCAAAAGGCCATTTGACCCCAGGAAGCGACATGTCCATTCACCAAAGTCCTCCTTCACAGGAACCGTCTGTCCGATCTGGACCGGTCCGACCGACTCGGTGCCGTTGATGTCGTAGCTCACATGGACCCACTCATACTCGGAGACTTCGCTCGGGTCGGACAGTTGGCAGCTCAACATTGTTGTGCCTTTCTTCTTCGACTTGACAACTGAGGAAAGAAGAATAAAAAGTTAAACTAAATAGATGATGGTGAGAAAATGAAGAGCTGATGGATTTGTTGAAGAAACTCACTTTTCGCGACAATAAGCTGCATCGTCTGACTCAGTCTTCGTCCTCGTATGGTCCCTCCACACCTGTACCTGCCCTCATTTTCAGGCACAACCTCCTGGATTACGATGGATTTGTCCCAGGAGGACGAAGAAGCTGAACGGTTGTTGAAAATTTGAAATCCGCTGTCCAGTTTCTCCACCAGTACCGCTGTGGGGGAAAGGCTGGGGGAGAAGACGCAGGGCATTGTGAACGAAGACCCCAACGCTGCATACAACTTGGTGTCTTGTTTGGGAGGCTGGATTATTCCTGTAAAAAAAAAAAAGATGTTATAGCAGTGATTTAAATCACTACTTCCTTCTGAACTGCTTGAGCTGTCAGATTCTCACCCGTCACAGACAGCTCCACTGAGGCGCTCCAAACATTGGACGTGGTCTGAGAGTGGACAGAACAAGTCCAGGTTCCTACAAACTTATCCGAAGCCTGTATGTCTACAGCTCTTCCAGATGAGATTCGGGTCTTTGGCGCAAATGGCTTATTGTTCAACGACCAGTAAACTACAGCATTTTGAGGCCAAGGCGTCACTGAACATTGGACGGACACATCGTCCCCCGTCATGGGAGTCGAAGGAGAGACGGACGCTGTGAAGGAAGAAGGAAATAAAAATGCTTAATGATGATCATTTGAATAATCAGTTCTCAATATTAGCAGAATTTCTGCACTTTAGAAGTCAACCTCCAGTATCCTCCTAAGACTAGATTTTCTTTTCTGTAACGTGTCAGAAAAACACAAACCCAAATCAAAAACTTCTTACCTTTAATGATTCGAAGCATGATCTGTTTGTTAGTTGAGTAGCCTTTGATTTCCACCTTGCATGTGTAAAGTCCTGCGTCGTCTTCCTTCAGATCGTTGATCTCCAGGCTATAGTCGCCTTTGGCAAACTTAAAGTGCGGGCATTGCACCCGGGAGTTCTTCCTGTTAAACCAGCTAGAGCCCCAGTACTGCAGACCGCTGCTCTCCTTTCTCCACACCGTGCTGCATTTCAAAAGAAAGATCCGAGGTCAGAGGTCAAGCACGTAAACTGTCTATGCATCAATAAGTTGATATATATTCAAATATGTCTATGATTATTTAAGTAACTCTGGAAATTCATGCAAGAAATACATTTAGTAACAGATCAAACGTTACTAAATGGATTGAGTGTAGATTAACTATTCAGATTCAAGAGTTTATTTGATAAATAAGGCTTAAAATTGTTATTGTTTTATAACAGACTGCAACACAGCAAATATTAAATGCACAAATAAACACTGAAGCTATTATATGTTTTGCTGGGTTTTTTTTTTTTATGTAATTTTAATACCAAATATAAAAATGTCAATTTTTGATTCTGGAATTAACCATTTAATTTAATTAATTGTTTAAATATTTTTTTTATTTGTTTATGTACCTAATTTTGTTTAAAATACCAGACTTTGGTTAAAATACCAGACGTGTAAACATTAATTTTTCACAAAATATTTGAGCTTTTTATTGCAACACTTTAGGTTCTAGTTACAGATAAACAATAACAAAATAAAATAAACATTCAATCTAAATTTGATAAACTATTTTCACATTTACTTAAATATGAACACGTTTTTCCTTAAAAAGTGACATTTTTTAAAATCTAATCCAGTTTTATTTACATGATCACGTTTATGATTTGTTAAATAAATCTTCTTATGAGATGTTTTGTGACACTTTTAGCCCTGATTGATATTAAGGATTAGTAGAAATCATAATAATAATAATAATGATGATGATGATAATGATGATGATGATAATAATAGTGCAGAGATTTGTTTCTTACCCTTTGTTGTCTTTGCTCCAGGTTATGGCAGCAGGATCACATTGTGCAGCTTCACATATGCAGGGCAGCACGACCTGAGAACCCGCCTCACCAACCACCTCTGTCTCCTCACTTCTCACTCCTAGAAATACAAAGGAAGATAAATATTTTACAAACTGAAAACTCAGAAAAAAATGTAAATACCTGATCATTTGTTTAAAAAAGTCACCTGAAATTACCTTTTGTGAGAAGAAAAATCATCCCAAAGACAAAAGTCTCCACCAGTATCATTTCGATGTTTTAAATTCACACCCAGTTAAACTAAAGTCTTCAAATCTGATCAAGATTTTTTTCTCAATGCCTCCTCAGCCGTCTCTCTCTTGTGCGCTTTCTTCTCGTTCGACTTGTTGGGGTTTATATATGAGCCCGTGGGTGCGAGCGAAGGCAGAGATGGGTAGTTCCTCTGCAGATCACGTGACTTCAGGAAGACTTTGATGCGGTCTGGCTTTGTCAGCCTGGAAACTGTAAGACAGAGAAGTAAACAGGGAGTCCCACTTCCTCCCACGGATTCTCTCTATCTTTTTCTAGTTTCTGATTCTTCTAAGTGAGAAATCCTGTCAAGCAATATGTGAAAATATTCAGTTTGGAAGCTCAACAAGTAAAGAGGTCACAAGAAAAGTTTTGACCCAAATCCTATAAGACCAAATTATCTCAGTACTCTAAATACATTTTAGAGTTATGTAGTTGATAAATAAAGATATATAGGTATATTAATAAACTTTTACAAGGCTAATCTTTTAGTATAATTTGTTTTTAGTTTTCTCCATGAAGCACAGTGAATGTTTTTTGTTTACAAATATTGTTGGTTTCATTCATGGAAGCCCTGGTTGTTTTTTTTGAAACTGCAACGCCAAACGGCGCCGTCACCACAGCGTCACTTCCAGTCATTTACGTTCACGCCCAATGGTTAGCAAACCATCGACGTTACCAAATCAGATCTTCACCAGCCGCCTCAGCGTGAGAGCAGGGCTTAAAGAACGACAATCTCGCCCTGATGGATATTCATGAAAGTGAATCATCCCCTCCATTCTCATTTCTTTGCTTTCCTTTTCGTCAGATCTTAGACAATTGCAACAGCATAAGAATAAGAGCCCACAAAGGATTGTTTCGCATCATAGTTTTACCATTTTTCATTCAGCAGCAGCCAGAAGGAATCTGATTAACTGTAAACACTTTGGGTTTTGAGAATGCAGACGTAAACATCTGGAACGCCTGACAATCACATATGATGTTTAAAAGTTTAAAAGATGACGCAGTTTATTGTTTCTCGTAGGTCAGTGTTTGTCACTCCTGGTATTATTGGAGCCATTTTTCATTCAAGTGGCAACAAATATTTTTCTATGGTCTCAAAGAAAACATTTATTTAAGGTTGGAAACCTTCCTTGGGATGTTTAGTAACTTTTATAGCTTATTTTTCTAGCTTTAGATTAAAATAGAACAGATTCTACTATAAATAGAAGGAAGATGGGCTCTGCGGATAGACCAAACTTTTATTATTCTGCACTGTAAAACATTTGAAGGTGGTTCACCTGCTGCCTTGAAAATGCAACTTAAGTCAACAAGAAAACTGTATCAATTTTAACTCAGAAATTAAAATTCACAAAGTTGATTTAACAACAGGAGACAAGATGTCAAAACATTGTTTTTTTAAGTTAATCAATATTCAAATGTGTTTTAATGCTGTAACTTAAACTAAATAACTATTTGAAAAAACCTCCCTCACTTACAGAGCACACATTTCTGTGTCATTTACTGACATGTTAAAATTAATACTTATTTTACTTTAGAGCAATTTAAATTCTTGTTTCAATCTGTCGGGTCATGCAACTGAGAGTTGCATGACCCGACAGTTTTATTTTAATTAAAGAGTAGAAGACACAACTAAATGCAACTCAATTGTTATGCAGTGGCTGTTGCATGTGCGTGTGTGCACGTGTGCATGCGTGTGCATTTGTGTGTGTGTTTACCCATATTCTGTGACATGTATCCAGCACAATTTAATTGCAAATCAGAGAAATAAAATGAGAGACAAAATAGGTGCAATAACCAGGTTGTATAGCCTAAAGCAAATACTTTCTTCAGTTTATTTTTAGCATTCAGTCATATTGGGTAGTTATCTAAGTGCATATAGCATCTTGATTTTGTACTATCACTATAGTTTAAGAGTCTGAACAGGTTCAGTAATCTGTTTTTCAGATCAACCCTGGAGGAAGTTTTTGAGGGATTCAATGTAGACATTGCTTAAGAAAATGTGGCTTTGAGTCATGAAATTGACGCCCATCTCCTAATAACACCTAGATAACCTCCACCACTTCTCAGTCAATCAGAGCAAATCAGATCTTTCTAGAGGTGAGTAGTGATGGGGGTTGTGGAGGTCTTTGTGGTTGTTTATTGTACCAGCTGGGGGAAAAAATCACTTTTGAACTCAACCTGACACAATAAATCCATCTGAGTTGCGTTTTCCATAAGCATCACCATCTACACGTACAGGAAAATGCTTTTGCACAACAACAGAGCTTAATGTATGCAGTCAGTGGAGATAGTGTCACAATTTGTCCATCCTTCCATCCATACAACAAAAACTGCAGTTTCAAATTTCTGTTTACATCTAATGCACAGATAAATATGTTATTGAGCATTTACTAAACGAAAATCAGACGATATAAAATACAGCATGCAGCATCTGAAGCATTCCACACCAAACTAATGCAAGAGTGGCCAATGATGACAACAGAACAAAGGTTGAGGAACTCTGTGTTTGTTTTTGGAGTTTTCTTAACTCTGCAGGTGAACAATCAAGTCAGGATTTTCCTCATCAGTGGACATATCTTTTATAGTTTTAAAAGTTTTTCTATATGCTTTTACGTCCATATTCAATCCAGAGGAGGAACCAATCACATTTTAGACATTAAACTTGACAAATAAAAACAGTTAAGACAGAAAAAAGTGTACTTCATATATTTCTTAGCGAGGAAAGTCAGAGATGAAAGAAGATCTTTTTCAGAGATTTTAGAAAAAAAATGTAGGTTGACAGATAAATAAATGCTGTAGCTGCACAACGGAGGATAGAGAGAAGTTAAAGTCACACATATGAACCAGAACACCTGAGTGTGTGTGGGTGAAACCTCAAAATTGTTTACTTCCTCTACTTAGAACGGTTTCCTTGGTGAAAAAAAAAAAGCATATGACATATGTAACACATTAAAATTGAAACTTTTAACATCTTTTCATCAAATAAACCATGAACTTTGCCCTTAGGTATCAAATTAAAAGATCTTTGTGTTTGAGGTCTCAGTCTGTGAGAATCTCTGTTGCTTTGGGGGCCGGTGTGCGTCACTCGCTGTGAAGTGGTCTTTCCTACTGCACAGCTGATGTTTTATCACTTCCACTGTATCTGAATGCGAGGGTGAGTGTATAGTGAGGGAAAATGCCCCTCAGATGGAAAAACTTTTACTATGAGTTTTTAGAGGGTGATGATTATGTTAATAGTCGTGAGCTTGGAAAATAGTCAAATGAAGTTCTTTAGAAGATCAGAGGATGAGTAGTTTGTTCCTGTGTCACGTTCTCAACATATTCTGACTCTTTTTGCCCCAAACCAGCCTTATCTGCTGCAGTGAACTCTGTTTTAACCATATGGAGAGTAGATGGTTACAACCAGGAAAAATGCAGTCCTGGCTGTGGCTTTAATAACTGATGTGAATAAGTGAAAGCATTTTGCATATGTAGGTGATGCTAAGTGATGTTCCACTGAGTTTACTGGCAGAGGAGGCTGAAATTATTTCTGCTCTACTGAGAGAATTAACCTTTTTTTTCTTGTCAGCACTTTGCTTTGCTTGACGGTAAAGATTATTGCAACATAAGCAAATGAGCTTCTTGCTATTTACTGAGATATAATTCTGCATAATGTTTTATCAATCTCACAAAAGGGGATTTTTACTTTTTTTCTTGTAGTCTGCATGTACTTTACATGCAAACAGAGGTTTGCACTTATTAAAAAAATTAAAAAAATAAAAAGTCGACGCTGAGGTACATGTGCGCACATCCTGCACACTTACAGTAAAAAGGCCAGCCTTCTCTGCACAGGCTACAGAGCACAAGATGTGAATGGAAATGCATAATGTTCGATAATGTTTCGTTCAAGCTTATTTCCATTGACTGGCAGATGTGTTAGCAAAAATGAAATACAGACAAAGATCAACTTTGCTGCGCTTGTTTTTTTGAAAATGAGAAAATATTCCATTTGTCTCTCTGCAGTAGTAAGACTGAAAGTGCCTACATCTGTTGGCGTGTCAGTGTGTGTGTACACAGAGCCTTGAAGAGAAACAGTGTCAATAAAGGGAGGTTCTTATGGTTTCAGTCCAATTCATTGTGTCGCAGAAAAACCAAATAAACCAGAAATGTGCATATTTTGAAGTTAAGGGATGATGATTATTTTACAATTAAAGTTAGAAAAGTGTGAGCTGCATTTGTGTTTAGCCCTCTGAATTTTTACCCAGTCTTTTTGCAAAATAGCTCAAAGTACACAGATTGGATTTAGGTCTGGACTTTGACTTGGCCACTCCAACAAGTGGATATGCTTTGATCTAAACCACTAAGACATTTTAAGTCTCTTTCAGCTTCTAACAAGGTTTTCTTCCTGGATTGGACTTTTTAGCGCCATACATTAAATAAGTGGATTCAAATCAAATGCACATCATTCAAACACAAGCAAAGTTCACATTAGCTGCAGAAATATCTTTGTTAATGATCACAAATGTGAAAAACCCACAGGAAGCAAAGTGTGGTACCATGATGCTCACTGCAAACATAAATGAATCCATTTACAAATTGGAATAAAAATAAAAAATCTAAAAAAATGTATGATCAAAACTCATGCAAATCCAGCTTTGTAGAGCAGAGAAATTAATTCTTGACCAAAAAACTATCTTTGCATCTGCTGAAAACATTTCCACTTGCAATTTAACTTTTTGATGTCAAGATCTGATAAATGGCAAACAGAAATTTGTGTGTAAAGCTCTTCTACAATCTTCCAGTGAAGTTAGGAGAGTATTCAGACTCTTGATCCTCATTGCGCCCAGAGAAAGATTGTTGCACTGCATTGATTGACCAAAAGAGACGAGGCAAGATGAAAAAGTAAGGGCTTCAAGTCATTTTTGTATTTAAGATCATTTTTATCAACAAACAAGCAACAGCACAAACTACTTTCAGACTTGCAAGTTTGGTTACTAAGATACACTCACACATCTTGTACACCTGCATCCCACTTTAGTCTGAAGCATGAAATTCACTTGTAACATCAGAAACCTGCAGAAATAAAGAAGGATTTATAGCAGCTTGCACAAGTATTTGATATTTTTTCCCACATTTTGTCATGCTACAGCAACAAACTTGTAAAACTGTGTTTGTTTTCGGTACAGCACCGCCCCCACCGCCGTGCTGAACCACTGTTTGCTGCAGTTGCAGCTGCGAATCTTTGGGGTATGTCTCTACCAGCTTTGCAAGTCTTGAAAATGAAATCTTTGCCCTCTCTTTTTTGGAAAATAGCTCAAGCTTAATCACATAGGACAGCGAATGTGCCCACTGCATGATGCTGCCATTACCGTGTTTCACATGGGCATGCTTGGTCCAGGGAGATGTGCAGTGTTAGTTTTCCTCCACCATGTGGGGTTTTGTCCATGAGACAAAAGGATTAATTTTGGTCTCACCTGACCAGAGCACCTTCTTTTCATTATATGTACCATGTTTGACACTTTTTCATAAATTTTAGAACTGCTGAGTGCATAACCAATCATTGTCCTACCAACAAAGCTATGGATCTCTGCATAAAATGTATATCTAAGAATAGAGACTCGAATTCAGAATCTTTCTTGTCAATATCAATTTCCGGTTTTCTTTCATATCTGACCAACTGATTTTAATTTTATTTTCTGAGGTCTGTGACTCATAAAAGGCATACAATGTGCTCCAGGTTCCTTAATAGATGTTGGTTAGAAAACTATAGAAAAGGGGATTAGCTCGCCCCACATTTGGAGGCCTCGACGCAGACGTCTCGGGTTCGAATCCCGGTCCTGGCGACCTTTGCTTCATGTCTTCCCCCTTCTCCTCACCCTCTTTCCTGTCTGTTCACTGTAAAAAATACGAGCCACTAACGCTGTAAAAACTCTTCGGAGAAAAAAAAAAACTATAGAAAACTAACAAATTAGAAGATTATCATTTGACATTTATTGAGTGGGTGATCCCAAGTCATTGTATCTGTGATCAAATTCTCAAGAAATGTACAAACCTTCATGATAAATTCAGCCTTAAGTTGAATTTAACCCTCTCAGGCTCAAATTACTTGCAAAGACTAGCGAAGTAGTACTGAGCTGTTGCAAATCTGCAACATCTGCCTGGAGAGGGTTAAACTGAATTTATCAAAACCCCTCAAGAGACAGACTAATTTGACTAAAATGACTAATTTCTTCATTCTTGTCTTCTTGATTTCTGTTTGCTTTCTTTCTGTTTTTTTTCTTTCATTCTTCTTATTAAAGGTGGCGATAAAAATATTACGGTAATAATTTGAATTTTCAGTGAATATATTACTTTAACCCTTTTGAAATTAGATAATTTATCAAGAAAGGAACACAAAGCGCTGTATTAGACTGATTTCAGAGGCTTCCTAGAACTGTGACCAACACTTCCTGTTTTCTGGGGTTTCCTATGTGGCCTTTTGCAAATTGACCAGGTTCCTTCACCTTGAAATTTTTATTATTCCATTTGTTTATCAGCCTGAGTTGAAAAAAGAGCCACTCGAAAGTTCAAGCCACATGCAACCCTGTACAGAGTGAAGTAAATATGAAAATAATGTCAATGGATTACAAAAATAAACATTGTAATTTAAAATGTAAAGAAAAGAGACAGAAATTCTACAGATCTGTTTGGTTTTACCTCCCTCTAATCAAATACATTCAGTTCGGTTCATCACATTTGTCAATTTTTTCCAGTATACCTACTAAATAATAGGTGTTAATTTATTCATTTTTCATGTAAAAGGAAACAGGCCTTGACATAATGTAGCCAAAATGTTAAAATAATTGTAAACCATCTACACATAAAAGAAACAGCATCCTGGATTTTGAATTATATACATCATGGTTGTAATTTGAGCCAAGATTTCTTTGCTGTTATATGATTTTATGCAAACACAAGCAGGAAGTCCTAAATATGATGGAAATCTATTCTAAATTACATCTTTTGATATGTTTAGCCTAAAGAAGTACTAATAATAACAAAGTCGCCAATTTTAGCACAAAAGAGAATGTCTAAAATATATGATGAAACATAAACCTGCAGTCAGAGAGTGGTATGTGCTTTGCTGTTTTACAAAGAAGGAAATGGGCAAAAGTTTCAGTTTTAATACATGCAAAACTGCAAGAAAAATCCCCCCAAGACTTGCAGCTGCAGCTGACGTTCTCAAGCAGCTGACATTTTGATTACAATCTCCAAAGAATCTCTTCAAGAAAACTGATCGTTTATATTTTTAATTTGGTGATTTATCTTCGAAATCATATGTTGCTGTGCTTAGTTGGATAAGTTTCAGTGCGACAAAGGTGGGTAGAGTAGTCAAAAATGTTATTCAAGTAGGAGTAGCACTATTTCAGTATCTGAACATCAATCATTTAAAATGTAAATATCACATCATCAAATGTACCAAAACATGAGCTTATGTGAAAATTTTGGCACAAAATGAAAGTAATTTATTTTTGAAAAATTGCAAAGCAACAAAATCAAGCAAATTAAAATTTTTTACAAATATATTTCTTTCAATATAAAATTTATGAACATTTTACAAAAACTGCAGGTTTGTGTGGTGAATTTGTGTTTGAGACAAGTTTGTTCTTTATTAAGTGAAGTTTCTCACAGAATATTCAGAAATTTTACTCAAATAAGAGTAGCGATACTTCATAAGAAAATTACTCAAGTAAAAATAAAAAAAGCACAGCTTAAAAAACTACTCCTAAAAGTAAATTATTTCCAAGAAGTTGCTCCAGTAAATGAGTAAATACAACTAGTTGCTACCAAACTATGTAATTAAAATGTAAAAAATGAATTAGTAGAACTCTTAGTCTGATATTTATTCCAACTGACAAATGTGAACTGACAAGAAAAACACAACAAAGTAATGGAAAATTGTAAAAAATATCAAAATTTCAAAAGTCAATTAAAACAGCTATTTCTGTTTTGTGAATTTAGATCAGTAGTGACGTCACAAGAGGCACAAGACATAAGCTGGCATTAGTAAACTTTACAGTGGACAATGGACTTTTTTGGTAAAATGACAGATCTGTAAGAAGCAGCAGAAAAAGTTGCTACATGGAAGCAAGTTGTAATTAATCCCTGGTCAACTGGAGGAAATATTCATAGCTGAGATAGTAAAACAGATCAAACGGACAATTAGGCAAGTCACAATCATCATAATTCTTCACCAAATTTATTTTTAGGTTTGATATTTAGAGTTTGGCCACTATATTGGTAAAGCACATTAGTTGTCAATTGCTAGCTACAATTACAGTATTTAAATATTGCAATCTATCTTGCACACATGTAAATAGAAAAAACAGGAAAAGATGATGAACTTGAGAGAAAAAAAAGTTTGCAGTGGAAGAGGGGAACGCTAAGCGTCACCAAAAGAAAACACAAGACCCTTTATTTATCTAAATAATGTAGAACACAAACCCACAGATGGAAATTTCAGTATCCTTTCTTTCGCTGTCTGACAGAGTGGGCTGATGCGGTTTGATCTTCAGACCATATGTTTACATTGTGTTTTAATGTGGGTGGTTCAGTTGAGTAGACCATGGTGAATATCTTAGAGAGGCATTTTCTTTGAAACATTTGTTCCATTTTGCTCCTTTCTTTTCTTTTGAACCTGCTCATGTGAAGGTTTCTGCAGACCACTAATTATCATGAGTAGGCCTACTTATATCACAACTTGTTCTTAATGCACAATATACAAATGGAATTTAGTCATTTACTAAATTGGAGATTGTTTAATTTGTCAGATTTCTTTCACTTATGCTTTACTTAATTTATTATGTTAATGTTGAGAAGATTATTAAAACTAACATTTTGCCCATAGAAAACATAAAATATATCTGAATTAAACTTACATTTTTATTCACCTTGTTTGAACCACACAGGCAACTTACAGACCTTGTTTTGGTTATCAATCTGTCACTCATTTCAAAGAGCTCCCTCTACTGGCAGTAAACCATTTTTTATGCGCAAGGATTTTTCTTTTTCTTTTTGTCTTGCGCCGCTTAAACGATTGTACGGTAGAGCTGCGATGCATTGTGGGACAGAAAATAAAGATGGTAGCGGGCATAGAGAGCATGTCGAAGCGACGATAACATATATTTTTATCATTATATCTTCGACAATAAGTATTTACTTCTGTTGCAAAGTGAGAATCATCTGATGCAGGACTCCTGTTGAGCACGGAAACAGGTACGAGTCTCAACGTCGACCTTTACGGAACGTGTTAGCCGAAGCTAATGCTAAAGCTAAGGGTCAATGTAGATTGAAACGAAGCGACTCAGGAAGCTCAGACTGACGACAAACCGTCACTGGGTTTACACTCTGTATAATCTAACCGTATGATTTATTTTTGTCAGAAGACTGAAGATGTTTGCGCTCGGAGGTTTGTTGAGAGTTGGATCGACCTTCTTTCAGTCTGCGGGAACTCTGCTCCTCCCAGCCAGGACCATTTCTACAGGTCAGGACGGCCCCAGTGAACCCACTGCATCCTTCACCAGTTTCATCTCAGAGCCTGTACCTACAAATGTATTAAATGCATTCAGTCATAAACTAACTATTAAGATTAGAATTTGAAGATATAATCATCACCAATCATTAGTTTTTCCAGTTGCACTATCTTAAAATTGTATCATCCTGTCCTGCATACTGATTGCTATAAAAGGTTTAATTGAAATTGGTGTCTTCTAAGGGCCTCCCTTTATGCACCAGGATAGTCTTCTCTATTTTTATGAAGCGCTCCACCAGAGCAGAGCTTAGTAAAAATGGCAACAAGATGAAGGGGTGAAACAATGTAGTGACTTTTAAAAAAGTTAAATATTAAAGCACACAAAAGTTCTTCATAAACCACAAGTCAAGGCAGCAGAAGATTGGTGCAGAGGTATTATTTCTCAGATAAATGCTCCTTCTGATTGATAATCTATGAATTTCATAGCTCGACAGAGCAAGCAAGGAGCAAATAATGAGTAAAACTATGCTGTCAGATGATAATACATGACTGAAAAACTCATTGTTTACCAATGTTATGTTTATATGTCAGGCCTGATCAGGTATTAGAATCCATAAATAGGAAACTCTTTGGTTCTTTTTTATAAATTTGGCATATTTGTTTATATAAGCATTAAAAATTCTTGACTGTTTTGTTTTTTCATATATAAAACTATAAAATATTAAATCTACCGTAAATTGAGCAAAACTGAGCCCGAAGTGATGCCATGAAATAATAAATCTGTGTTTACATTTCATATTAATAGTACTTATTAAGACAGCAGTTATTTTATTTGAGTGATTCTTATGGTTTATATGTTGAAATAATTATTTTGTTCCTACAACTGCTCTTTTTGTATTCAGTTGGTTGTTGGGATTTTTGTTTATTAGCATTTCTGGTATTACAACTAACACATTTTCTCTAATCATTTTGTCTCTATTTGGTTTCTTAAAATACATTAAACATATTTATTTAACAAATTTTATAAACTTGCATTGCTTATGCTTGTCTTATTAACCTTGAAGACATTAAGGATAGAAATGCAATATTAATCTGTTCTTCTATCAGGTTTTGATGCTGTAAATGTAATCCTTGTGGGAAACTTGGTTCTGAATGCAGTAATCTGTTCTTCAGGGACTTGCTGCCAGTACAGGATGAATGCTATCCCTCAGCCTAAACAAGTGGACAGGTGGAACGAGAAGAGGAGCATGTTTGGAGTTTATGACAACATCGGCATCTTAGGTAAGGGATTAGAATAATCTAGATATATATATATATATATATATGTTCACCATAGATGGATTGTTTTAGTTAGCTAGGTAATCTTTAGCAAAATAAAATCTGAGTCTCAGAAGATACTTTTTTTTCAATAAAAATCATCGGTAACACTTCATTTGAAGCGATAAGACTAATAAGCATGACATAACATCTGACATGAACATGGAGTCTTCATGAATGTCTGTCTGTGGTCATGAAGTGTTATTCAATAAATAAAGACACTTGTGATACAAAGTTGATACTTCAAATGGATTTTTTTATTCATAATTTATCAAATATTGCAAAGTTGACACTTTGCACTTTTAATAAAAATTTAAAAACTAATAAAATTCAATAAAGGTAAAAAAAACAACAAAAAAAAACGTTTTACCGAAAGACACTTAATAACGACAGTCATAAACATTCATAAAATATTCTCTATGTTCATGACAATGTTATATCAGTCTTATGCACACCCCTTCAAATAAAGTGTAACTGTAAGAGAAGATGTGTAAAATAAGCAATTTCTGGTGGTGTAAGCAGTATATATATATATATATATATATATATATATATATATATATATATATATAGTGCAGTAGTCTAATTTTACTTTCCTTGGCTAGGGGACTTCAAAGCCCATCCTAAAGACCTCATTAGGGCCCCCTGCTGGCTGAAAGGTTTCAGAGGTAATGAGCTGCAGCGCTTGAGTAGAAAAAAGAAGATGGTGGGAGACAGGATGATGACTCTGGACAGACACAACTTGGAGAAGAGGATCAGATTCCTCTACAGACGCTTCAACCGCACTGGAAAGCATCGCTAACGCTGCAACAAGCCCAACAAGGACTGCCAGTGAATTCATCATATCACTGTGTTATGCTGATCAAATTAGAAAATAACTTGCAGCCATTGTGTACGTTTAGTTTTTTGACCTAATGAAGATCGTTCAAAAGCCTGGAAGTACACCGAAAATACATCATAAGATGATAATTAAAATGGGTTTTTACACTTGCATTCATTTTAAACTTGATTTAAAACACTGGGTTTGTATTCCTTGAACTGTTTCTGTACCCATTTGTGACTTCATCGGTAATTCTGGCCATTCTGCTCCAAATCAATGAAGAAAAATGGACGCATTTTTCCTGACTCTATAGAAAGTGATAAAATTAGGCTGCTCAAAGACTGTCGGTGTCAGCATTTTTCTTACAATAATTGTACAGAATATTAAATATTTGAACTAATGGGGCCACTGCATAATTCCTGTTGGCCTGAAGTCAAGATGCTGCTCCTTTGCAGGTGATTCGGAGTCATTCACTTGTTGAAAGTATTTTATTTGTAATGAGAAAACTTGTTCTCTGGATGTCCTGACTGGTCTTCAATCTGTCATATTGGTGGATTGACTTAATAGTCTGAGAAATATCCCCATAGCATGATGCATCAGCAGCCATGCTTCACAGTGTAATCTTTGGGGACATGTTGTCTCCAGAGATTAGGACACAGAAAACAATTTATCATTTGTCGATCCATATTTGATAGATGTTGACCTTTTTTGATCAGCCTGAAAACATCTGTTTCTAAAAAAATGTTCTCACTAGGTTTTCTGGCATTTGGCTAATAGCATTAGTTTTGGTAATTTAACTGAGCCAAAGCAATAAAAGTTTGGTCTAATTTAAATTCAGACTGTCAGAAAAAAAAATGTGTCTAAATATTTGTTTTCACGTGTTCATCACACATCCCTGAGATTCTGTCTGCTCTGACGTATAGGACATCCCTACAGTCTCATCATTATTTAGTCTGCATATGTTTAAAGAAATTCTAGTTAAAATCCATTCATAGTGTCTTCACTTCTACCTGGCAACAAAGAAATCACAATAAGCTTCCAAAAACTCCTGAACTCCTGATGTTCAGACATTAAAATACAAATATATAAACTTGGCACAAAATAAAAAAGGCATATTTACATGCATGCACACAAGAAGATAAGCTTGATTGATCTGTTGTATAATCTTTTCTGTTCAGTTAGTTCTCCTTTGCAAAAGACTTCAATGGAGCAAACTTGAGTAAGTGAATGAAGGAATTAAAATCATTTCTTAACATAAAATTAAGGAATAGAAACAGTTTTATTATAAGAACATCAACAAAAGTTTGAATTATTCTTTCATATAAGGTGCATGTTTCAAAACTGCATTGACCCTTCATTCTGCAGCATTTGCTTTAGGACCTCGGTTTTCCACGGCTCATTTAATTGTTACTTTTGTTGAATAAGTGGGTCTGTCGAAGTGCACACGGTGCGGATTTAAACAGGCTGGACTTGAGTCAAACAGAGGCAGTTGCGAAGGGAAATGTGATACAGTAGTCGGTGGGTAATTGGGAGAATCCCGGGCCAGGGAGAGGAAAACAGTCGACTCAACACTCCGGTTGTCCACTATACCGCAGTCTGGTCCCGCCGCCCCATCCAACACGGAGAGCTGCAGCACTGCAAAGCCTGAGAGGAGGGACCGGGAGGGGAGCGCAGGGGAAGGGAGGGGTGCCGCACTGTCGTTGGGAGTCCAAGTGAGGAGACGCAATATTGCAGCTGAAACACTTTGCACGAACCAAAGTACCGCACTTCCCCCCAAGACGCGCAGAGAGAGAGAAAAAGAGGAGGAGGAGACGGGAGTCGACGAGAAACAGCTGGTTTCTCATCACTGCACTTTTCTTTCTCACCGATCTTGAAATTTGTTTGTAGCTCTCAGAAGAGGAAACTACCTGCCAGCCAATCAGCGCTGCGTCCTCGATCAGCATCCAGGAGCAGCTCAGCATCACTTGGAAGAGCCGGACGCAGCAGCACCGCCGGGACCCGAATATCCATGGATCCGTTTCTCGGCTGGATTATAATTTAGAAGCGCTCCTCTCTTCGTGAACTCGCGTTGCTCCCCATCTTTCTCCCCCTGCCACACTGTGAGTTATTGCCCGACCTGTATACGTGGCCCGGTATTGCGGTACTTTTGCTGACGGCTTGCAGTATAAATGCATCGCTAGAAGATCTCCACTGCGCCAAGAAGACTCCCCGCCCTTTTCTGAAGCTACTTAAACCTCTTTACTAATTAAAACCTCAGATTTTTTCCCCCTGGATAAGTGCCTTCACTTCTTTTCGAAGATTTTTATTATTATTATTACTTTGGTGTCCTCCCTCTGCTCCCTCACTTCCACCGCTGAGTCAGTTCAAACAGCTGCATAGAAGATGTGAGTATTAATGCGGATTCTCTTTTGCGTCCTTTATTTTTTACAACAATGCAAAAGAGCGTAAAAGCGGATCCAGATAAATATTTAATCAGCTCTTTATCATTTGTGTTTTTTTAATCAATATTGAATCAAAGCGGTGCTGTTTTATTTCTCTCTGCTGTGTTTTTTTTTTGCTGACGCATGTGAAAATTGTCGTCACATCTCTTAAATGATGTAGTAGAGTTGGACTACTGCCACAGCTAATCCTCCAGGGATTTAAACCCAGTTGGTTTTATGATGTTGCATTCCAAAAATCATCTTGTTAAACTATTTAAATTAGCATTATTTTTTTGTTTGCTTGACTCAGAAGCGGAATTATTGGAAACAATGTACAATAATAATACTACTACTACTAATAAAAAAAAAATACATTCATCTTCTTCCTGGGACCATTTGGACATTTTCAAAGATTTTATTTATTTATTATTCCCTGAGAAGCAGAGACGCTCCTGAGGGGGGCGGATTCCTGGGAAGGCAACGGCCAACCTTGTTAAATTGCTGACCATCCCCACTGGCTCTACAGATTTTCTGTGTCCTTCCACCTTTAAATATATGTCACTATTTTCCGGTTCTGCTCTCCCACCCACTTTCCTGTACTTGTAAATGATAAATGACAACAGCAAAATAAAATTCCTGAAACACAATGTGACTTTTTGGTTTCGATGTCACCCCCCCTGTCTGGCCTGCCCTTTAACCACAACCCTCTGTTTGATCAGTTTCTAATCTTGCTCTTGTTTTTTTTCCTTGCCTTGTTTTTTTCTGCCTTCCTTTTTTTGTTCTCTCTCTTTTTATGAAGAGTGTATCGAAGTTCACTAGAAATCACATTTCGTTCCTCAACTGAACAAATTCTCAAGATTTTTTTTTTAGATAAAAATTTTTTTATTTTATTTTACAATGCAGTTCATAAGACTCTGCTCCTTTTGTTAACATCACTCTCTTTGTTTTCTGGTCCACTTTTTGAGTTATTTTTGTTATGCACTTACCATTTTTCAGGGCTTTTAACATAAAAAACATGACATTTACTATACACTTAGGAAAATGTGACATTTAATGCAATATAATGCATTTATTGCAGAAAAGCCCAAAGCTCACATTCTTCTTCCTGATCTACGGGAGCTTAGCCAATTCATTTTACAGATAAACTGACCAATAATATTACAGGCATCCAGAGTTTTAACACCTAAAATATAACATTCCTCCATCTACTGCTTTGCGGTTCTGATATTGTGGTGATGATTGTGGCTGAGTGCGTTATAGAGTTCAGTCTATTTTGTTGTTCACTGTATTAAATGAGCTGCTGACGGCATTCTGACCTATTTTATAACTCAGATTGATTTTCCAACTGGGTCTATATATTTTAGTGGTTTTCTCTAAACTTTATCTTACATAAAACACACATCACTAATCTAGTTGAAGAGGTAATAACCAGGTTAATAATACATGAACCAAGCAGAACCAAGATGAATGAAAGCTGAGTGATTTCAGTAAATATTGACTTTTCAGGCTCATTCTATGTTCAAACTTGACCAATATGTTGCTTAAAAATAAAGATGAACTTGTTTTTTTATGTTATTGTAGTGGAAAATATATTTATATATATTTATATGACCAGTGGTTGACAAAATAAATAAGAAATGCTCCACTTTCTCAAACATAAATAGTGAAACCAGAAACAAAGCACACATTTTGAAGAAGAGGTCTTAATTTTTATACCTTTAGATTCATTATGTGGTACCTAAATCACATCAGAATTGAGTGATCTAAGTGTTTGTCTTTAATGCAGTCTTTCTTTTGTTTCCAGGTCTGCCCCAGATGCTGCTGCCCCTCCAGCTGCTGGACCTCCAGGCGCTCCTGGCGCCCCCGGGCCAGATGGAGCCCCAGGCGGAGCGCCACCCGGCCCACCCAACACCAGTAGCAACCGCAGGCTTCAGCAGACACAGGCCCAAGTTGAGGAGGTGAGATAAACTGAGGTCCCAAACCAGTGCAGTGTTACTTTTTTAATTAATCTGAAATGTTAAAAGAAATTTAAAAAGCACTCAGTCTATCCTTTGTGATTTATTGGATCAGAGGAACCAATTTTCCTTCCTCTATCAACCGTTTAATCCTTTCTGTTCCTGCCAAATGCTGTCTCATTGTCGGCTCTAGGTGGTGGATATCATGAGGGTGAACGTGGACAAGGTTTTGGAAAGGGACCAGAAGCTTTCAGAGTTGGATGACAGAGCAGACGCTCTCCAGGCCGGAGCCTCCCAGTTCGAAAGCTGCGCAGCCAAGCTAAAAAACAAGTACTGGTGGAAGAATTGCAAGGTGGGTGCATTTAAGTGTCTCATCACAGAGAAACTACTAATGTCTGAGTCAAGCAAATGCGCTCAGCGCTCTGTTTAGAGGAAGACATTGTAATCTGTTAATGAGCTGCTGTTGAGGACGGCAATGACGCCTCAGGGAAAAATGGAGGAAAGACGTCTGCTACTGAAGAGTTTCACTGGAAACTGGATAGATTACATAAGTGAACCATAAAAAATACAAATAGTGTATTGTTTTTCTTTTATTGAGTTGCTCAGGTGGTGTTTTGATCTGTTTTCAATCAAATAACTAAAGAATTTTGTCTTGTTATCCTTTTTAACAGATGATGATCATGATGGGCATCATTGGAGTCATTGTGGTTGGAATAATATTCTGTAAGTACAATATTGTTTTGTTTTGGTAATTTAAGTTAAGAGATTAGTAAAATCTTCCCTTTTTAATTTAAATAACATAATGTATCTTACTAAAGTACTAAACATTTTTACAATTTTATGTTAAAGTTGCACATTTCAATGGATTTTTATTGGGATTTTATGTGACAGACCAACACAAAGTAATGCTTGATTGTTCAGTATCATAAGACAGGAGGATACTGACATGAAGCACATTTTCATGAGAGAACAAAACAAAACAACCCAGGAAACCAAAGTATTTAACTAGTTAAGTGAAACACTGAGTTCCTAAAACCCCACCTGACTGAGATGTTTTTGACCAATAATCACTGGAACATTGACCAACATATTTTATGTGTATTGATTATTTTGATGATGGTACGTGACAAAATGTCATGTTTGTTATTGGTTTCCCAGTTGGTGACTAAATGATGTTTTCATGACGTTTTATTTTTGTGTTTTTTCTGATGTAAAGCACGTTGAGCTGCCTCGTTTCCTTGTAGTGTACTTTATAAGTAAATGTGATTGAATGATACACACAAAACAAAATGGAAAAAAGACAAAAACTTCACACCTTTTAAAGACTGCCTGAGTCTTGGAGGAAGCAGTGAAGAAGCAACTAAGAGAAAACTTTCGACAGATGAATTATGAGCAACAGGCTCCACAAATCTTCTCTTTGTCAAAAAGAAGAAAGCCATGTGAAGTCCTGTTTGCAATTTTTCAAAGCCATGTTGGGGTCACAGCAAACAAGAACCTTTTAATCCACACGCAAAACATGTCATGTGGAAAACCGACAGCTCAATTAACTAAACAGACCACAGCAGTGGCAGCATCAAGCTGGTTGGAGTTGATGAGAAGGTGGAAGGAGAAAAACATTTGGAAAATCTGGATCACAAGCTGCTAAAAGCTCCAAAAGACTTGAGACCACTGTCCTGCAGAATAAGAACCCCAAACATTCAACCAGAGTTACAATGGAAATGTTTTGATTGAAGTATATTCATGGATTAAAAGGGCCCAGTCAAAGTCCAGAGCTAAATCCAACTGAGTTGCTGCGAGATTTAAAAGTGAAACTCAGAGAAGCTCTCCATCCAATCAAACTGAGATAAAAAAAAAAAATCTGAAATACCCTCAAATATCTGTAGCTTTGGCAAAAGATGGTTCTACAAGTGTTAATTCAGACTCAAAAAACACATTTCACATTTTTATGTGTGAAGAAAATTGAAAATCATGTGTCATGTTCATGAGGTGATGTAGCTGTTTGCAGCGTTGGTGGGTTTGAATCCTGTCCAAAGGCTCTTTCTGCATGGAGTTCAGATTTTCTCATGTCCAGCATAACCTGCCTCTGATCAGGTCACACTGAACATACACACCGTCCCCCTCTGACCGTAGAGCTTAGACACATCACTTCACATCACTCTGCGCTGGTCTTTCACTTGAAATCCCAATTAATGCAGTGTGTGAACTTTTGAAGATAATTTATTTTAATTAACGCTACTTCACCTTATTTTGCTTCCTTGATCTATTATCCATCAGACTAATGGCTGCCTCTTCCTCCTTCATTCGCAGTGTACTTCTTCTACTGAGCACCTCCCATCATCAGAGATGAACTCAAACCTAAGGATAATGTTATAGGGGAGAGGAAAAAATGAAACGCCACTCCTCCCTTCTATCAGCCTTTCTTCTCTTCACACAGTCTTCCATTGAACCATCCTGCACTCAGTCATGTTCCTACGTATGTGTTTCTGCTCTCTTCGTGCCCCTTTCCCCACCTTCTTTCTTGCTGCTTTCTCTCGGTCTTTCTCCAGGAGGTCTCACTCACTCTCTCCAGTCTGTGCACCTCATGTATTATTGACGGCTGCAGCGGGCGGACGGAAACAGGGAGGAGAAAAAGAAAGAAGAAGGGAGAACGCAAACAGAGCTCAGAGAAATATAAGTGGAGATTGAACAACAGTTTGCAGTCTTTCTACTCCAGATACGCCAACGCTTGATCATGAAATTTTTGATTTAAAGAGACCTACATTTGTACATTGATACCGACATGCCAAACTAATACCCTCCTTTCATCATAGCGCTTATTACTAACATGTTAGATTAAGAGTCAAATCATTTCTGATGTTTTTCCACCTGTGCAATTGTGATCCGCCACTCTGCAGCTTTTACCCAATTGGATTTCACCAGTAATTTATTCCATTTTCTGTTCAACTTTCTCTCACACTAGTCTCAAACTTCTGCAGGGATGATAAGAACGGAGAAATGCAAAAAAGGGGGGAAAAAAGTCTCTGTGAAACGTTAAGCCAAAAAGAGGTGATTCAGGAAAAAGAAGTAGGAGTTTAGTAGCATATTTTCCTGCATACATACATGCAACTTGAGTCATAACCTCCAGGCAGAAAGTGATGAGTCAGTTTTGGGATTTTTCTATCTTAGGTGATGGCAATAGAGTCATGTACACAGAAAGGCACATGAAGCGGCTACTGACAGACAATCTGCACGCCTAAAGGACACGAGGAAGACCTCTCCACTCTGAATGGACAGAGTCTCAGCCATAGACAGATGAATGTGTAGCGTCGCATTTTGAGCAACCTTCTATTGAGAGCGGAGCAGATGGAGTGTTTGTTGTTTTCAGAGTGGGAGAATGAGAGAGGACAGAATGAGGATCCCCCAGAGCCGCCAGGCTGCTCCCCCTTCACTCACACAAAACCAGACTCATCTGTCACCTGCAGTTCGATAACAGCCAGTAAGAGGCATTTGTTTCTAACCTGCATGGCAAACAGTATCCATATTTGTGTGACCTGTGTATCTGCCATTTCTCAATCTTACTGCCGATTGTATATTTTCTTTCCTTAGTGGTTTCAAGGACCTGTGTATAATGTTTTTCTGATCAGATATGTACTGCTTATGCAATGTGCAATGCAACAATGCTCATGAGTTTGCCAAAATGTGTCACTTGCTTTGAACAGAAAAAAAAAACATAATCCTCAACACTGCAACCTACCGCTACTGTAGTAAATCATTTTAGGAATCACATAGAGCTAATATAGGAGAACCACTGTACATACATACAAGTTTATGCTCCAGAAAATGTGTTTATATCAATAGACTGTTGGTTATTCGTGGAATTCCTTTTCTTTTCTCTGAATTGATTTTGAAAGTTGTGAAAAGAGTAAATAATACAAAGAAATTCATGAGAAATATGGAGCAATGCATAACTGTAGCACCAGTGATCTGCTGATATTGTGCAACAATATTAACAGGTGATCATCATACAAATAGAGATTATGTTTTGTGAATTGAACATAGGATGAGAGATGCAACCAAATTTTGCAAAAAAAAAGTCAAATGCATGTTTACCACTTTTGCTGATGCCAATAAATAAATCATGAACTGAACTGCATCAAACTGTTTCCTGACTCTCCTCATGATTCTTCTAAACACAGAAAAGATTTCAACTCACTGATCAGTATTCACGTGTGAAGTCAGTGAGAAAAAGCAGAAAACGGATCAGTGAGCTCCAGCCTAATGCACCTTTAAATTCATAAAGCTTAGACACAATGATTATGTTCAGTGTTAATGTTTGCAGTTCTCAAAAGCTATTCCTAATTGTACTTGAAATAGTAATTTCAATTAGTAATTATCAATCAATCGACTGCTTGACAACTACAAATATTTTTCTGAAATGAGTAAATTAGCAAGTGAAGATTTTTTTGTCTCAGTAAATAATTTTATTATACTTTCATGCTCTACTACAACTTTTAATTCAAGTTGTAAACAAACAAAAAAAATCTCTTGACAGAGACAAACACCGTTACCAATGTTGAGTCATAAAAACTTTATTTTCAAAGACAAAATAAAGTGGAAAAAGTCAATGTTGACAAACAAAAAGAAAGAAAAACAATGAACAGCTGCAGCATTTAAAACCACAGCATCACAGTGGAAAAACCATAATTGCGCCATTCATTCCTCCTGAAGTGCAAAGAAAAGTTGTAAATAGAAAAAATCCTGTATTTCCTCAGTTTGTACCGCATCTTCTTCCTACTTGTAATTAATTAACATATTTTGTTCCCACAGTGAAACCCAAATGAAGTGGCATCAATCCTGATGTTTTTACCACTTTGTGTTTCATCATTAAATGTTTACTGACTGAGAGACTTTAAATAAAGCTACCGATTCACAGCCTCAGACAACTGAATTAGCTTCTTGGTTGAATAAAATTACTTTAAATCTATTTTGGTCAAAAGCATAAATAATCTATAGAGCAATGCCACAATGGAGCTTAAAAAATACAAAATTTTAAAGGTAATACAGTCAAGTGTCTATAAACGGTATTAAAAACAACCTGATTTCAAAGAGGCTTATTGTAGGCTGTTTTTGTTGGAGTTAAACAGATATTAAGTTTAAGTTTAACCCCAGGAAAGATGTGAAAGGTCAGATTATTTGTCTTGAATGGAAAACTATATTTGAGATTCAGATTGGTCTTCTGGTCAGACAAAAATAATGAAACTTCAGTGGTTCATTTCTGAGAAAATGTGTTTTTCCTGCTGAGATTATCAGTATATCACAACAAAAAGAAATTAAAGATCTGAGGTTGCTCAGTGCATCATGACAAGAAAGAAAATAATAAAAACCATACAGCAACTGTATGAAAATTATTATAAATTAATGTTTCCTACAAATAAAATATTTCAAATTCAGCAGACAACTATAAGACCTGAAAATGTTTACCTTTACAGAAAAAAAAAATAATAATTCAAGGCTCAGCTTCAAGTTAAGATGACCAGAGTTTCTTATTTCATGACCTGATAGAAGAAGAGAACAGTGACAACGAGGAACCCGAGAACCCACCAATAGGAATCTGTGGAGAGAAGACACAGAGTACGAACTGTTTTCAAGACAGAAGACAAATGTGCAAAAATATAAAAGCTTTAATCAATGTTATTGAATTAGGTGGACATTTACTAAGTTTGATTCCTTGGAAATATAATCAAGTGACAAAAAAGTAAAGTTTTTATCTTGGAGAGAAGGTTTGTGAGTTTTTTTCTTGCACTAAAACAATCTGAACAGCCTGTCTGAGAAATCTGACAATTGTTTTACACTTCTATTTTTACTTAAAAAATTTTTTATTTCATTCTTAGGTTTACAAGTTAATGAAATCACATGACATTTTGTTCAAACGTTTTTGTTATTTGGCAAAGAAACATACCTGGTTGGGCATTTTCGACTACTATGCTGATGTAGTGTGGCTCGTCCAGAGCTGGATGGGTCACCCTGCAGGTGATCTTGGTTCCTGGAGAAAAACTCGGGAGAATGGTTACATGAGAGGACAGGGTAAACGTCCCGTCCCCGTGCTGCCGATGGCTGCTCAGAGAGCCCTGGTTCGGAAAGAGTTTTGGCTCAGTTTCCGACGGAGGAAGGAAAAACCACTCCATCTGCAAGGCAAGGAGTACAGAGCAGCAAATTATGACCTGTAATCAGGAAACCACTCTTTTTATTGGCTCACTTGGTGTTCTTTGATGAATGAAATGCAACAAATTACTGGATAAAGAGGATTGTGTGTTCTTATTAGATCTGTACCTGAAACTAAAGTTGGTTTTTTTTCTTGATCTATAAAACATTAAATTTCTTGTGGTCAAGAAAAATCTAGATATTTTAAAGAAAGACTTTTGGAAGTGTTTTCATTCTTCAATCATCATCATCATCAATTTGCCAAGTATATGACAAACTTTTAAAGCAATTTTTTGGGACAAAATACTTAAATATTTATTTTGAAGTGGAAAAAAAAACTCGTTAGTGTCATTGAAAGTGCGAGGATTTGTTTTTTTTAATCCACAAACGTTCCGTAATGTTTTATGTAAATTCCGTAAATTCATGATGATGAACACAAGGGGGCGCCAGGCTTCCATCTACGTCTCTAATTGAGGTCAAAACACAACTAATTAGCACCAAGCTTTAAAATCAAAATGCTGTTATTGTATCAACTCTCACTGGAAAAGAAAAAATCTAACCGTAAAAATGTAATGAAAAATGTATTTATTCAGAACTTATATTTTCCCAAAAGTGAAAATATTGCACACCTAAAATAATTTGTCCACAGATTTCAATGTGGAGCATTGTTTGTTTTTCTTTGTTTGGTCACACTGTTTTTCCTGATGCTGGCCTAACCAGTGAAAGGTTAAATTAAGTTGTAGCTTCATCTCTCTGCAGGAGTTTTGTCTAATAATTAGGGATTTATTTGTGAGATTTTTTTATTGTTTTGAGATGGGGGAAAAAAAATAGCAGCTTTGGTGTATAATGTTTTATATCTATCTGAGCTACTTGATAAGACAACACACAACAAAAAATCTTTGAACAGCAAAAAGACAATTAAAACTGAGCTTTTATTATTTTGTTCTAATTTACATTTAATTATTATCGCTCTCATAAAAGGAAACTCCAGGTTTTTTGCAGGTTTTTTCAAAGGGTGCTAATTAAGCAAATTTAATAATTACGTCTAAAAACAGAGCTACTGACCTGAGCGTCTAATGGATAGTATTTAGCACAATGACAGCTCAGTGTTTGTGGAGAATTTTTATTCAGAACCAGCTTCTCCTCCGACAGAGAAACCTGCGGCGGTTCTAGGAAGAAAATCAACAAGAGGGAAAAGTTATAAAATAATCAAAAGATTGACTTCAATGGATGCTTAAAATAACAGTAAGATCAGAATAGAGGAAAAACGTACGAATGATATGGAGCTGAATGACCTGCTGGGCGTGGAAATGACCCAGATTGACGGTGCAGATGTAGGTTCCTTCATCGACGACCTTCAGCTCAGTCAGAGTCATGGAGACGTTTCCCTCACTGAGGAGCAGAGCAGCGTCCACACTGGAGCCGTTCCTCTCACCGTGAACTGAGCGCAGAAAATCAGACACAGATATGACAACTTCATACAAAGTTATCCTATCAATGTTAAATGGACAAACTTGGATCTGCAGATTTAGGCGGAAATAAATGTTTTATTGTAACTCTGAATAACGTTTTTGTCCTCAAAACTCCCAGATCCTTCCTTTGCTGTGTCATTATCAATGTTTTTGTTTTGTTTTTTAGTCTGCAGTAAGACTCAGTATTTGTACAATATTCATTCATTGGCATTATTTTGCATTTCTATTGAAAGTAAAAGCTTTAAGATTAGTTCAATATTATGTTGTGAGTCTAAAGACGTTTCTAGAAGTCTTTTAAAAAATTTTGCCTTTGCGAAGAGTTGTGTGAGGTGATAGTAATAAATATTCAGGTAGATGCAATATATTGCTTCACCACATTAAAAACTGTGTGCATATCAGAAAACCTTTAAGATTTATGAATGATAACATGTTTCCAGAAGCAGTGGACTGATTTCAATGCACAGACCAGCAAGGCAACATGCAGTTAACTACGCCTTCTTGATATAAATTCATTTCTACAACACTCACTGTAAAATCTGTTGCGTAAAACGTCATGTTAATACGACACAGTGAGTTGTCAGCGAGTTACTAGTCTATACTATCTGTGCTCCTATGTATAATATCTAATATATAATAAAATCTCTAAAAAGCATTTGCATAAAAACAAAAAAAAGTATAAAACACAGAGATATTCTTTTTATAAAGTACATTTAAAAAAAAATATAGAATCCTCCATATTTCACAACATTAACTTATCTTCATCTCACCAGTTCTAGTATTTATACAATTTATGATAAAGTTTTTATAAACAAATCCCTCCTGGGGCCTGTTTATTCTTGTTAATACTCACCTACAGTGGCCTCTTCTGTGTCGTCTAGTTTTGTCTTCATTTCAAGAACTTTCCTGCCTCTCCCTCTGTGCTGCAGACGCCATTCCAGGCCCACTTCTGGCGCTAACGGCGTCTCCTCCTGCTTGAAGCCGCAGTTGAGGAGAACATCTCCTCTCAGAGGAGCAGATACAGAATTTATGTCGGAAAACACCAGGAATATTACTGTGACAAAAAAAAGGCAAAGAAAGCAGGAAAAATATTAAGAAGAAGTTTTGTTTTGTTGTTATTAGATGCAGCCCTGAACCTTGTATTTTACCTTTAGTCAGCAGAGTTCCTGACTGGCTGAGAGGTAAACTGAGTTTGCTTTGTGTCAAGGTTGTCTGATCTTTTTCAACTGGTAATGTTTGAAGAATGAGCGATGTGCTGAAGTCAAGCCCCTCCACACTGAGGGAAACCATGAAATATGCTGGATCAGAGCTTTCCTGAAGTCCTCGAGGAGTGTAGCGACTAATTTCACACATCACCTCCTGCTCATTGCAATCTGCATGGAGCAACATGCCTGCATTGGGGATCTCAGGCGATGACACTGGAAGGAAGGAACAAGAAACGTTGAATACAAACTGAGCTGATTTTACAGTGACTGAGGTTGAGATGTGTAGATAATAAACGGACACCTTTGTTCTCAAAGAGGATGAGGTCTGGATCAGGGACTGAGGGCGGGACAAATGGAGTCAGTGTGTCAAGGGATTCATCGGGTCCCACTGGGACGTCTCGAAGGACGAGAGTGGCTGGAGTTCGGGAGAAGAGAGAGCCGCCTCCCATTCCACCCATTCCGACTCCCTCCTCCACCAGAGAGCAGGAAAGAACGACGTCTGCAACCCCATCAGCTGGAAGACAAACATAAAAAAACAACTTTAAAGCTCAGAAGTGTTTCAGCTTTTATGTAGAGTATTATTTGTTAAAATTATCACTACGTCATGACAGATAATTTGTGAAAATATCTAGGTTCTCTCCCAGTACACCCAGTTTTAACTCCAGAAATACACCAGTCAGTCAGAAACAACCAATCAGAGCCCGGAGGAGAGTTTTAGCGCTGTCAATCATGCATATGTACACCCCTTGCGTTTAGCTACACTACAGCTTATTTACCTCGACATGGCCTGCAACAAATGCTAAGGCTAGTTAGCATGGCAGACAAATGGTCTCATTTGTTTCTTCGCCATTAGTACATTTTGCAGCAAATACATGAGTTTGATTGACAGCATAAAGACATTCCTGCTGGTTCTGATTGGTTATTTTTAACTGGGAGAGGTGCATTTATTCAAACACCAATAGTAGCACAAGAAACTCCCGAGGTTGCATGGCTCATATTATATTGCCACAAGATTGTTTCAGTTTTAAATATGAAAAAAAACAACATATTTTTGGAAAAGTTACATACCAAAAATTTCAAACTAAATGTTGCAAAACCATCCCAGTATGACTTCCACTGGAGACCCTCAGGAGTCTTGTGAATGTTGGAGCCTTCAGGTTATGTAAGCTGCAAGGAGGGGCCTAAATGCATGACCCAACTGTTTCACCCTATTGAAATTTTGGGTCATCTCACCATCATCTCAAACATTTTTTGTTCCCTTAGAAATTTTTCTAAACCAGTTTATCTTTGGGACACAACATCCTTGCTACTGGTCCATTAAAACATAAACGATCTACAACGATGCTTAGCCAGATTGTACATGTCGAAGTGAATAACAGGGCCGAAAGTTTTCCAGCAGCAGATTCTCCAAAACATCTCACTGCCTCAGTTGTTCACATTCTTCCCATAATGGGTGTTGGTGCAAAATGTTTGCCAAGATAAGTGACAAACAAGCACCCAGACCAACCGCCTGGGTGTTGGTCCAAAAATTACACTTTTGGACCACTTTTGTGCTCCACATTTATTTTATTTATATATGTATCCTCTCTTTTAACATTTGCAGACTGGAAACAACCCAAACCCTCAAGATCCTTCTGTTTGAACATTTTTTCTGCTTTCAATACATCAACCTGGAGGATAAAATCTTCATTTGATGTCAAGTATACTCCACCCACTAACAGGTGCCAGGAAGAGCTTCACCCGTCTTACTCCCTGATCAGTGTGTCAACAACCTTGTTCTGTTTAGTATGCACATCTGTATTCTAATTCTTTTAACAAGGTTTTTGTTGTCATGATCAATCTCTTTGCTGCGAGATTGATCGCAGCAAAGATTCATTCCGTAATGAATATTGTTTAATTTTGGAAAAATAAACAAATGAGTTTCTTGCAACACATTTAAACAAAAATAGCACCGTCTTAAAGTTGGGTATGTCCAACAAAATGCAAATGACGAGAAGAAAACCTGTGAGCAGATTCAAGAGAAAGTTTTCTGTTTGCTATTTAAAGTCATTTGTTTGAATAAGAATATGTCTTACCATTAACGAACGTCAAAAACCATCCGATAAATATCACTTCAATCATCTTCATGGAGCAGGAGATCCGTGTTTTGTTAAAAATGAAATAAAAGAACAAGTCACAGCACTTTCACTTTTGATTTCAAAAAGCTACGGACGCGTCATAACGATGGTCCCTTCTTTGAACAGCAGAGAGCTTTTTGACTCCCTCTTCGCCCCATCTGCGATATTCATTAACGAGATATTATTACCGGTAATAAAAAGAAAATAGAAATAAAGTCTTTCTGTCGGGGCGGATGTGCGTTCAGACGACCTAACTTGAGCATGCGCAAATGTGAAAACATGGCACCAAAAGTGAAAGTGGACTCAGAGGCTCGACCAATCAGAAACTATCGCAATTAGAGTCATGGGTTACTATGGTAACAGTGTCCACGGGTCGTTCGTGAGTAAAAAGAACTAAACCGATGAAGACCAAATGAACTCAGTGGCGCCCCCTAGACGGAGCCAGAGGAGGAACATCTATGAGTTTGTGTGTATATTTATATTTAGTGTATTTACATACAATTTTTCTCAATTATTTCAGTTTATTTTTCACAACTCCCCCATTGTCCTTGCCTTCCCTGAATTGAACGACTATTGCGAATCTGATCATATCTAATCATTTATCTGTAAGTATTGCAAAGGTACAATGATGTGGTAAATTGTGTTTAACTGTAGTTAAACTAAATAGCAATCACATCTTGACAAGTGATATGCAAATAAGGTATTTGGTGTAGATTTTGCCATGGTAAACAATATTTAGCTGAAATGTTACTCTCATCAAATGTACTTTTTCTGCCTACATCACCAACAGCATTCCTTTTGTTAAGCTACATACATAAATGAAGAAGAAAAAAAAACATGGCGTCATCAGTGCATGTTTAATTTTTCAATACAGAAATCAGTTGTACAAATGTTCAAAACTTTCTCTTTGGTTTAGAGATTTGCTTCAGCAGAAATGAAGTAACATCTGGGAATATCCTGAACATTAATTTAATTTAACTTCATTTTTTTAAGTAGATAGAGCAGAATCTTTTTGTCAGTGTACTTCAAATCACTGCTGGTCTCATGGCTTATGAGCAGTATTTGGTGTTTTGAACACAGTAAAGATGACAAGATTGTTTTTGTTGTGTGATGAATTAAAAAGATTGGCTCTTAGTACGTAAGCAATTTATTTTCTGAAAACAATTGTATCTTGAACAAACATTTCTTACCTCAATACTATGTAAATTTGTGTAAAGATAATAACTTGAATTTTTATGGTTCACAGATTTCAGTTGTCTTAAATTTATTTCACCATAGATTCGTTTTTCTCTGTGTATATAGCTTAAGTTGTTATAGTGCTTCAATGCTTCAATGAAGCTTCAATAACCGAATGCTTTCAATTTTCCTGCATGATCTTGTTAATCCAGTCTACATAGTTTGCCACTTTGGTATAAAATCCATATGTTCCTTTCTGGCCACATTTGATCCCCCAGCTGACAATCCCAGCAGCCCAGAATCGTCCATTTTCAGATTGCAGAGTGAAGCCACTTCCACTGTCACCTTGGCAAGAGTCCTTCCCGCCATCAGGAGTTCCAGCACAGAACATGTTGTTTGTCAGTTTTGGTGTCTGGCTAGTAGGTTTTCCCCTCAAAGAATTACTGCATCTTTCCTGTCCCACCACTGGAATATGTACATACTTCAGCTTATTTGTTAGATAACGCTGGTGATTGCCTTTGTCTGTAATGCCAAAGCCAGATACCAGCCTGAAAAAAAAATGAAGGGTTCACAGAACAAAAGATCAGTTATGTAAAAGAGATTTGATATTTTTGAAATTATGTTGAAAGCCTACTGTTTCTTTACCCGATCATTCCCGTGTCATATGTGTCATCCGCTGATGGCAAACAGAGTGGCATTATTGCTGCTTGGAATGTGATCGGATCTTTAAGTTTTATCAAAGCAATGTCGTGGTCAAAGTTTAAATCGTTTGGATTATTATATTCAGAGTGAACATAAACTGCAGTTGCATTCAGGGACAAATTTTCAGTAATTTGGTTAACATCTGTAATTCCAAGGTAAATCTACAAAAAACATAAAAGAAAAATAGTTTTTCAAAAAACATGTTAGTGGACAAAATCAGAAGATTACACAGTATTACTTACAGATATAGCCTCAGGAGGTGCTACTTGTTCTTTAGTTACAACCACGTGAGCTGCAGTCAAAATCCAGTGATCTGCTATGATCATACCTCCTCCCCTGTTGCTACCTACATTTATTAAAGCTTGCCATGGGATGGTATGATTTGCAGCATCATTTCCTCCAATAATCCTCTGAAAGTGATTTTCAATTTGTTTTGTCGGTCGACCACAAACTGCATAGGATATAAGTTTGTAGTTATAAAGAAAACATAGTGACATCAAGATGTGCTTTGATGTTTTAAAAGACCAAAAGTGATACCTGGTAGGCATGCTGGTCTTAAAATGACATCATGGTTGGATCTCCACTGTCTATCCGCTTCGCAGGTGAGAGAAACTAAAAAGAATAAAATGTTATATAAGCTTTATAAATACTGAGACTTATTGGTTACTGTTTGCATCTGAAAGTTACTAATTTCATGGAGTCCAACAACCCTCACCCATTATTGAAAAATCAAAAATCCAGCTACTTTGCAACAAACATTTTTTTTGTTTTGTTTTGTTTTTTTTTCTTTTGCGGCAAGATAACAGTGTATGTGGCATTTTTCCCTCTTCAACCTTCAAATATAGCTGCGGTCTTTCAAAATCCTGAAAGATTCTGGCTATAATTTACATAACTATTTATAAATATAGGTTGGCTTTGACCTACATGCATGCAAAATGTCTTTCAGGGGGCCTGGCATCGCTGATGCATGGCAGCCTCGCTTCTGTCTGCTGTGTCAGCAATCTATCTTTATCTTACTGAATGTGGAGTGAAGTGCTTTGTGGTTTGTAAAGGGTTGTACAAGCACCGGCTATTTACCATTTTACCAGCCATGGCAGCTTATTGGAAGCATCTAAATCAGTAAGTTACGACTGTATAGTAAAATCTTACCATTATTGCCACCATATGGTGTATAAAATGGTTCATTGCAGTGATACTGAACAACAGAAAGATATTGGTTCTGGAAGCCAGACAGGAAGTTAACTCCCCCATTCAGCAGGGGTTCAGGTTCTCCACAATCAATTACTGTGGCAGAGAAAAAAAAGATTCAACATTTGTCAGCAAAACATTTATTATGGTTATTCACACTTTCATTGTTGGACATGATAGATGAAGCTGACATACTGTGGCATTCAGGCAGTGGGAGATGCCACTCTCCGTTGCTTTGGCACATGGTAGAGAAACTCTTTATCTCCACACCATTCTGACCAAGAAAAAAGTGACACACATTACATTGAAACATTGTGGTGTTTAAAATGTAATTTAAAAGAAGTGCTTAAACTTACCATCATTAGTTTGTATCCTTCATCACAGCGCACAGAAATATAATCTCTGTAGAAGTACTCGGTTAAGGAAGGGGTGACCTTTCCTCTGGCGACTTCACCAGGAGCTGGACATGTCACTCCTAAACACACGAGGAACAAAAATGTGTGATCATTGGCATGTTCGATGTTCAGACGCTCTTAATTTTCTAATTTCCTTTCACCCCCTCACTCTGTGTGCTGTAGTCCAAGCTCCATCCATTGCTTTGTCCCTGATTATCAATATTGTAGTCCAGCTTGACAATGTTTGAGTTTGTGTTTATTAATCCTGGGCTTGTTCCCCCACACAGCTTCTTGGGATTTCTGTCTGGGGTGATCACCTTATAGAAAGAAATGCTCAAAGTTTGCTGTTGCATTTTGGAGTTTTGTTTACATCTATTAATCTTACTACAGCTGGTTAAAGCTGATTCATGTTACCTCCAACCAGTGATGGAGACATTTTGGGCCTTCCTCTGTGTCCACACTCTCAATGTGAAATTTGTCAGAGAAGTTAAGTGAGACAGTGAAGCCGGACTCCACAGAAATGATATACTGACAGGACAAAGCATCTGGCGAGGGGTTCGGATAACCTGGACTCATCAAGTGTCCTTCTAGCTCATCGAATACACCGCCGCCACAGGACACTAGACACAAGAAAAGTCAGTGAAAGGTTTGAGCATAACCACAATGTGGAAGGAAAGTGTTACATGGGATTCATTTGATTGTGTGAAAAGGTATCTTACGCTCTATCATTGTCTCACAGCTTGAAGTCAAAAGGGGAAAAGTTTCAATTTTTCCATTACTTTGAGAAACTGATACAACACTAATTGATTATGGATTTCTCTTTTGATTTTATATCCAAGAGGCAACAGAGTACTGAAAACTGGTTTTAGATTTACCCTTCATGAGCAAATGCTCCATTCTCTGCATTAACCAAACTTACACATGCAGGTGCGTTGGTCTGAGCGTAGCTCATAGCCATGGTGACAAGCACAGAGATATGACCCAAGTGTGTTGAGGCAGATCTGAGAGCAGAGTGGACCTGATCCGTCCTCAGGTTCTGGTGCAGAGCATTCATCTAGGTCTGGTGAAATGAAATTATCCATATTGTAGGTATATATTCGAAATTAAAGATCTATTATTTATCACATGAGAAAATTTCCAAAACACACCTTTTGCTTGGTACTGAGCAGAAAATCCCACATTCTGGTTCCGGTCCGGGTTGTAGTCATCAGACTGGAATATCAGGGTGAGTCTGCTGCCTGGAGACAAAATGGGCTGGTAGCCGGGGTGATGTCCATCTGCAGAGTTCTCATTGCCACAAAACTTTCCAAGCACCTTTTCATCATATAGGACCTGCAAAATAAGATCTGAAATAAGATGAAGAAATACTACCCATAAAACTTTATTTAAAAGTACATAGAAACAATTGCATGTTTAGTTGATTTCATATTTGTTTCCAGAAGTAAATAATAATAATAATAATAATAAAACGGTTGTAGGCTGAATTCTGATTAGAAATAAGTGGCTCGCACCAGTGGTGGTGTGAATCACTATGAATATTTATTGGTTGTATTAGTCTGTGAAGCGAAATAACCAGGAATGCCTCTGCTGCTTGATATTATTGGTTGACTCTTCACAGTTTTCATAAAATTTAGCCTGTTATTTCTCTAGCGTTATACTACTAGGTGATCATGCATAAGTCTGACATTTTTCACAGTTTTGAGTCTGATTCAGCTGTTGACACTTATTTAATGATTAAATACTGTATATTTTGCAAGTTATAGAATAGAGTTTTTACTTGCAGCTAATTTAACATGTTGTTAAATTAGAACTTTTAGAACATTTAGAACATTTCGTCTAATAAGCTAGACGAAAAGTGTTATATTATCCTGGACTTGTAGTCATTTTTCTACCTTTAGTGTTAAGGTACAGTATACAGCTTTCCACTGAATCAATTGAACATCGTCCAGTACAAGGACTACAAAGGGAAATCTATTGGTACATGAGCCCCATCAAGAATTATTTTCACCAGCCACCACTGGTGAAAATAAGAAAAAAAATAATTGAGAAAAAAATAAACATGAAAAAATAAAGATAAATAAGAAAGAGTCTGCAAATCAGAAATTATATTTCCATGATCATATTGGAATCCCAACTCAGAAAATAGTTTGATAACACTGACTTTGACATGCATTAGTTTATTAAACTAATCTTCTACAAGAAAAAAGACTGTTAGGTCCAAACCAGTGTGTTCCTTATAATGTTAAATATTTTGCAAAATGTGAGCAATTATCCTCACATTTTGAGCATAATTCTGAAAGTATTATATTGCTCTGACTGTGATGGAATCGTAGTAGCAGCCTTCAGAGGCCTCAATGTCCAGATGTGTGAAGGTCAGGACGATCTGGAAGCCCTCCGGCACGCTGATGTCCCACTGCTTCTGCAGGTTGGGGGGATAAGGCAGAGGATACTGGGGGGAATGGATCTCCCCGTACATCGGAGGGTCTGAGTCTGGCAGTGGGACACACTCACACACCAACACATGCAGAAACCTGGAGACGTGTACAAACAAGAGGTCCGTCTGTTTAATCAGAGTGTGATGATCTGAGCCACTGGTCCAAAGTCGATTCAAACAGAAAAGTGCAAAACACAGTAACAGAATCAACTAAAGCAGATGATACATTTTATAGCTGAGAATATCTATGGCAATGAGTCAACCATCTACCTGTTATGAAATGGCTTTCAAACATGAGTCATAAATATTTTGAAGTACAGGAAAACAATCAGATATTTGCATTTTAGAGACATTTAGAATCAAGACAAAAAATTTGGACAAAAACAGGTTAATTCAATCATAACTGATTTTTCACAAACATCCTTTAAACTCACCATATGATGAAAGATGTCCATCTAATCTGGAGATTGAATATATCCATGCCAGAATTGTTCTAGCTGTGCACCAGCACAAGTCTGAGATACAAGTGAAACATTAATGTCATAATGGCTCCTGTTTCAACTATTAAGCAACCCACTGCACTAATGCCAGGAATACCCCATGTTTGTCTTGGCAAAAATCAAGTATGGTTGTTTTTTAACAGATAGCATTTTGTAAAAATTGTGATTAGAATTGGATATGGCATTGTAATAATTTATAAATTGTGCTATTTTAGATTATGCTTTGCTATTCTTTAACTGTAATTTATGCATCTTTGGCTCATTCATTAGCTGTCATAAATAATTCCTCCACCAGAGGGAGGTATGGATATTTTTTCAGCATCGCCCCTTTAAAGAACAAGTCAGTAAATGTTTGGTTTTATGTCATAACTCATCCTAATCCTAATCGAAAGTTTTTGTTTTTCAGCTATGGGAGAATACCTCGAATAAGGACACAAAGTACATAAATATTTCATGCAGAAAGAGCCCAAACTGGGACCTTAATACTGCAATACAACGTTGCTAAACTCATTTTAGAAGAAACACACAAACCACAATATGAGGGCATTACAATATTTGATGGTTTAAATGGATGAGGACATTTTTAGCATTGTATAAAAAAACACATAAAAACTCTTTAGAGAACACAATGATCTCCCACTGCTTCTCCAGGTTGACGGGATAGAGCTGAGGACACTGGGAGGAATGGACCTTACCTGAGTCAGGCAGTAAAACACACTTACACATGCAGAAACCTGGAGACAAACAAGACTTCAATCTGTTTATCAGTTTGATGATCTGAGCCACTGGTCCAAAGTCGATTCAAACAGAAAAGAGCAAACACAGCGACTAAATCAATTAAACCAGATGATACAGTTTATACCTAAGTAGATCTATGACATCTATGTCTAATACAGTATGCTTGAGTGAGAAATTATTTAAAGTAGAATAAAATATTCAAAGTAATTGCTTTAATATTAGAGACTTTTATAATTATGTGGGGAAAAATTTATGTTAAAAGCTGTTTTATTCTGTCATAGTTTAGTTTTTTTTAAATCTTCTAAACTCACCATATGATGAAAGATGTCCAACCAGTCTTGGCATTGAATATGTCCATGTCTGAATTGATCCAGTTGTGTACTAACATCATGTAGATACAAGTGAAACATTAATGCCAGAAATGATGGCGTGTTTATCTTGGCAAAAATCCAGTTCATGTTTGACTGTGAACAGCAAAGAAAAAAATATCATAAAGATGATATTTTGCGAATAATATAACTATGTTATACGATTAATAACTGTCATGTTTCATGCTATTTTAGATTATGTTTTTCTGTTCCAATATTGGAGACATATTTGGCTCATTCATCAGCTGTCATAATTAATTTCACCACTAGATGGGGGTGTTTATAATTTTTAGCATAGCCTCGTCAAGGAACAAGTTTGTATATAAAAACACTACGCTAGTAAACATAAGTTTGTTTTTTTATTATTATTTATAATTATGCAAACCAAGATGTTAGATTTGACGCTTCTCTTTTCTAACTACATTTCCCACAATCCCTCTTCACAGAGAACATAAGCATGGTTTCAGTTCACGCTGTGCAGTCCGACCATTTTATTTTTTTATTTGTGACAGGCTGTTCTTTATCACAGGAGTACTTTTTGTTAATGTAATGCACGTTATAGAAGTCTTAATTGTAATGTTAGATCAATGTATGAAGGATCATACCGACGCCTTTTTGATACTTAATTAATTCAAACTTAGTTATTGCCTCCAGTAATTTGATTTTGTCAGTATAATTCAGAAACTATAATTTACAATTCTGGTGATTTTGGCTGAAAATTATTGAGTAACTACAAGAGTAGTTATTCAGTTACTCAGTAGTAACTACTGCTGAATATCAGATTCTCACAGGATGATAACAGTTTGGTTAGTCATATGTACTCTGTGTATAATTGTGTTAGGAAATTAATTTCATACTAAATGGTATAATTTAAACACGTCATGAAACCATACAAACTAGAAAAATAGTATTTTGAATGGAAATAGTTTGTCTGTATATATGTCATTTTCATTTTAATAAAACTTCAGTAAAATTGGAGGATAAAAATCTGGCAGTGTTCAAGTAACTAATGTTTTTTGGGATTCTGCTCCACACTATTATTTTTTTTGTCTGTCTGTGGTGACTGAAAATATTCCAAACAGCTGATTTTTCATTTGAGTGAGCAATAAAAAACTATTGTAGCCTTAAGTAAAATGTAGAATACAAACCTGATGAATGACTTTTAAACATAAACGTGTGATAGAAGATTTTAGCTGGTTTCAACATAATGTGTTTGAAACCTCAGTTTACCTCAGAACCAGAAATCAGCCCCATGCTCAGGCAGCAATAATGAAAAACAGTTAATAATATGTCACTGACAACAACACCATAAATGTAATTGTTTATTGGCACTTACATGGCAAAACTTAAAAACTTATAAAATATGTAATCACATACATTACAAAGCATAATATATTTTATCCATGTAGAAAATATACTCATGATATAGATTTGTGACTATAGGTCATATAAACAATGCTAATGTTTGAATATTTGATTTCAAGAAATTTTAAAAATTGGTTAGTATCAATAATTTGATTACCCCTGATCAATGGTTGTTAATTGTGATTGAGACGAGTGTTATGTTTTGTTTTTCCTAACTCTTTGTTTCATTTTTCTTGATCTCATTAATCCAGCTGACATAATTCTCCACCTTGGTGTAATAACCCTTCTTGTCACCTGTTGCACCACCCTTCCCACAGGGAGAGCCCCATGACACAATGCCAATCAGATAGTGGGGGCCGACGCCTGAAGACAACATGGGTGAAACAAAAGGACCGCCACTGTCTCCCCTGCAACTGTCTGTCCCTTTTCCTCCAGCGCAGAACATGTTGTTAGTAAAAGTCATGGCTTTGTTAGAAAGGCGAGGTGTTTTTCTACACTCAGTGAGGGACATAACGGGAATATCAACGTGTTGTAAGATATTTGATGTACTATTCCATTTCTTATCCTGAAATGAAGCCCCCCAGCCAGACGCTGTGCCTTGTTCTCCCTCCATCACACCTCTATTTACTTCTGGCAAGCAAATAGGCAGGAGGTTTGGGCCAAGCTTCACTTTGGACCTGAATTTTATCAGAGCTATATCATTATTAAAATTTGTTTGACTTGAGGCTCCTCTGTAGCTGGAATGCACTATGACTTTTTCAACTGGAATGGGAGATACATCAGTTCTTGTAGTTCTTGTTCTATCTATCAGTCCACCATAGACTTTAATTAATTCTTTTGAGACGCCGTTCACAACGTGTGCTGCTCTGACGGCCCACTGATCGCTTATCAGCGATGCTGCTCCGGAATTTGGCTCTGTTATGAGAAGCTGCCATGGTATTTCTCCCAGCATTGCCGCCTTTCCTCCCAAAATTCTGCCTGTGCTTGACGTTTCTGGCATTCCACACACTGAAATGCACAAAAGTCATCAGTAAAGCAAATTAAGTTATTTAGTTCAGATGATACAGCTTATACCTAAGTAGATCTATGACATCTATGTCTAATACAGTATGCTTTAGTGAGAAATTATTTAAAGTAGAATAAAATATTCAAAGTAATTGCTTTAATATTAGAGACTTTTATAATTATGTGGGAAAAATTTATGTTAAAAGCTGTTTTATTCTGTCATAGTTTAGTTTTTTTAAAATCTTCTAAACTCACCATATGATGAAAGATGTCCAACCAGTCTTGGCATTGAATATGTCCATGTCTGAATTGATCCAGTTGTGTACTAACATCATGTAGATACAAGTGAAACATTAATGCCAGAAATGATGGCGTGTTTATCTTGGCAAAAATCCAGTTCATGTTTGACTGTGAACAGCAAAGAAAAAATATCATAAAGATGATATTTTGTGAATAATATAACTATGTTATACGATTAATAACTGTCATGTTTCATGCTATTTTAGATTATGTTTTTCTGTTCCAATATTGGAGACATATTTGGCTCATTCATCAGCTGTCATAATTAATTTCACCACTAGATGGGGGTGTTTATAATTTTTAGCATAGCCTCGTCAAGGAACAAGTTTGTATATAAAAACACTACGCTAGTAAACATAAGTTTTTTGTTATTATTATGTATAATAATGCAAACCAAGATGTTAGATTTGACGCTTCTCTTTTCTAACTACATTTCCCACAATCCCTCTTCTCAGAGAACATAAGCATGGTTTCAGTTCACGCTGTGCAGTCCGACCATTTTATTTTTTTATTTGTGGCTGTTCATTATCACAGGAGTACTTTGTTAATGTAATGCACGTTATAGAAGTCTTAATTGTAATGTTAGATCAATGTATGAAGGATCATACCGACGCCTTTTTGATACTTAATTAATTCAAACTTAGTTATTGCCTCCAGTAATTTGATTTTGTCAGTATAATTCAGAAACTATAATTTACAATTCTGGTGATTTTGGCTGAAAATTATTGAGTAACTACAAGAGTAGTTATTCAGTTACTCAGTAGTAACTACTGCTGAATATCAGATTCTCACAGGATGATAACAGTTTGGTTAGTCATATGTACTCTGTGTATAATTGTGTTAGGAAATTAATTTCATACTAAATGGTATAATTTAAACACGTCATTGAAACCATACAAACTAGAAAAATAGTATTTTGAATGGAATAGTTATGTTGTCTGTATATATGTCATTTTCATTTTTAATAAACTTCAGTAAAATTGGAGGATAAAAATCTGGCAGTGTTCAAGTAACTAATGTTTTTTGGGATTCTGCTCCACACTATTATTTTTTTTGTCTGTCTGTGGTGACTGAAAATATTCCAAACAGCTGATTTTTCATTTGAGTGAGCAATAAAAAACTATTGTAGCCTTAAGTAAAATGTAGAATACAAACCTGATGAATGACTTTTAAACATAAACGGTGTGGCAGAAGATTTTAGCTGGTTTCAACATAATGTGTTTGAAACCTCAGTTTACCTCAGAACCAGAAATCAGCCCCATGCTCAGGCAGCAATAATGAAAACAGTTAATAATATGTCACTGACAACAACACCATAAATGTAATTGTTTATTGGCACTTACATGGCAAAACTTAAAAACTTTATAAAATATGTAACTCTCACATACATTACAAAGCATCATAATAAATTTATCCATGTGGAAAATATACTCATGATATAGATTTGTGACTATAGGTCATATAAACAATGCTAATGTTTGAATATTTGATTTCAAGAAATTTTAAAAATTGGTTAGTATCAATAATTTGATTACCCCTGATCAATGGTTGTTAATTGTGATTGAGACGAGTGTTATGTTTTGTTTTTCCTAACTCTTTGTTTCATTTTTCTTGATCTCATTAATCCAGCTGACATAATTCTCCACCTTGGTGTAATAACCCTTCTTGTCACCTGTTGCACCATATCTCCCACAGGGAGAGCCCCACGACACAATGCCAATCAGATAGTGGGGGCCGACGCCTGAAGACAACATGGGTGAAACAAAAGGACCGCCACTGTCTCCCCTGCAACTGTCTGTCCCTTTTCCTCCAGCGCAGAACATGTTGTTAGTAAAAGTCATGGCTTTGTTAGAAAGGCGAGGTGTGTTCCTACACTCAGTGAGGGACATAACGGGAATATCAACGTGTTGTAAGATATCTGTTGTACGATGCCACTTATTATCTTGAAATGAAGCCCCCCAGCCAGACGCTGTGCCTTGTTCTCCCTCCATCACACCTCTGTTTACTTCTGGCAAGCAAATAGGCAGGAGGTTTGGGCCAAGCTTCACTTTGGACCTGAATTTTATCAGAGCTATATCATTATTATAATTTGTTTGAATTAAGGCTTCTCGGTAGCTGGAATGCACTATGACTTTTTCAACTGGAATGGGAGATACATCAGTTCTTGTTGTATCTATCAGTCCACCGTAGAGTTTAATTGATTCTTTTGCGACGCCGTTCACAACGTGTGCTGCTGTGACGGCCCACTGATCGCTTATCAGCGATGCTGCTCCGAAATTTGGCTCTGTTATGAGAAGCTGCCATGGTATTTCTCCCAGCATTGCCGCCTTTCCTCCCAAAATTCTGCCTGTGCTTGACGTTTCTGGCATTCCACACACTGAAATGCACAAAAGTCATCAGTAAAGCAAATTAAGTCATTTAGTTCAGAAGTAGTTAAGCAGGCATTCTCCTACCTTCATTGCATTTTGGCATCAAGGTCCACTCGCCATCGGCCTTACAAGTGCTTGTATCTGAAAGGTATAAGGAACCACATTGTTTAAAAACAAGCAACACCAGATATACCACAGTGTGGGAGACTCGCATAATCACCATGTCCTTCCAGCGTGTAGAAGTTTGAAGTGCAGTAAAACTGGATCTGGCTGCCATACTTTGTGTTTTGATCCTCTGGATTCACCAGCTGAAGGATGCTGTCATGTCCAAGATTCGGCCGACCACAATCCACAACTAGAGCGGGAAACAAAAATCACCACGCAGAGAGGCAGGACGTTTAAAATGAGTAAGAAAAGATTCAGGAGAAACACAGATTGGTTTTAGTCCCACTCACTTTCACAGGCGTACAGGGGAGCCCATACACCGTTACTCTGGCAGGTTGTGCTATACTGTCTCGATAGATTGCCAGGGGCCTGTTTCACAAAACGAGAACTTAACAAATATTGTCTGGGGATATTCTAACTGTTTTAGGGTAATTTTGATCTGCTGAATCCAAAAAATCACATTGGTTCAACTTTCTGAAGATACTTATAAGATTAGGAAGCTGGGATACAGTGAAGATGGCTGATTACTGCTGGACTCTGAAGAGAGACACACCTGCTGCTGAGCATAAGAGGCGTTCGAAGAAACTGAAGTCCACGCACTATGAAGACTTAATGTTCAATTTACCTTATCAGTGTTTGTTACTCAATTTACAGAAATGCAAGCTTGGATCTTTTAATTAATACACTCTGTTAATAATTGTTTTTTTCCTAAAACCTTTTTTGGTTTTAGGAGAAATTTTAATGGAAATGAATCGATAGACTTACAATAATGTCATCAATTTAGTCAGAAGATCAGATTAGATTAAAAACCTGACTTGATTGAGAAAAATGGATATTATTTTGGGATTCAGTGCAAAACAGTCCTAATTCAGTTGAAAAAACACAGAGAACTTCCAAAAAATATTCTTTTGTAACCAGGTGTTATTTGAGGACTCACTGAATCCACAACATAGCCAAGATCACAAGTTACGGTCGCTGATTCTCCCCGATGATATTCTTGTTTCAGAAGAGTCATGTTTGAGTTTGAGGTCAGAGGTCGACAGACCTTATCTGCAGGGAAGAGCAGTGATTTTAGATATACTAAGGAGCCTTTTGGGAGGAACTGTATTAAAAAGGAGCTGCATTACCTCTTGTTCTGAAGTGGAGATTGAAGCCCTTGTTAGTCCCAGACCCGTCAGAGATAAAATGGATTTGGACGTGACTCGAGTGAGTGAGAAGAGGAGGAGGTGGGGGTTTGTTACCACAGAATGGACCCAAAGTCTCAGAGTGAGTCTCAATCTGTCAAGCACATCAACACAGTGCATGTCTTAAAATGTAACATTCTCAAACACCTGATAAAGCATGCAGATACACAGTACTACTATTAAATCTTAAAACATTGTAAACGTCACAAATATGTTTTCAGTGAGAAAACAAAACACTTCTTGCAGCTGAATCTTTGCAGCAGTTTTGCACTCTGTTCACTTGAACAAGCTTTGTTTGGGTTCAGAGGTAGGAGCATTAAAGTTGCACCGCTGAATACTGCAACATCATTGACCTCAAATCAGCAACCTCACGAGTCTAAAGTGAACCATGTGCTAGAATCCCTCAAGTCTGCTGCTGCTGTGCTGTTGCTGCCGCTGCTGCTGCTGCTGCCGCTGCCGCTGCCGCTGCTGCCGCTGCTGCTGCTGCTGCTGCTTAGGAACCTGAACTTCGTGTCTGTATAACAAATCCCTTTAAATCTGGACTTTGGTCTGACTTTCACGATTTTGTAAGGTACACATAGGGTGACCTGATGGTATCTGAAAATGCGGTTGTCTGTGTAAAACACAGAGGCGTGGGTGTGATGCTGTGCGGGTCGTTGATGGTAAATAGTTTTTTTTTTCAGACTCCAACACCTAACCAGCATGGTAACCACAATATCCTTAAATGACACATCATTTCAAGCTACTTCGGAGGAAATTGACCACTGTAAGATGTGAGTTTTACTCTACAATGAAGCACAAGCAAATGTTAGTGTCATAATAAAGGTATAAAACATATTTTATATTCTTTACATTTTATTTGCTTGCTTCTTTACCATAGAGAGTTTCATAATTTAATAAGTTATTAGTAGTTAAAGTCTATTTTATTGTATTTGTGGATTTTCCCGTGGAACCTTTTTTGCACATACAAATCTAAAATATTAAAGAGAAAATGAAGCTTGGGAAAGTGAGATACCTATTGCTTCACACACTGTTTACAAGCAGCATCTTCATCGGTGCAGTCACATGATAGTGAGGCCAATTTAAATTTTTAGTGATGTCCAAATCTGCGAGTTAACAGTGATAGAATAATAAAAATCTAAATCTATAAGAGTGAAACTAGTTTAAAAAAAAAAAAGAAGTCAAACCCCGGTGCATCAAACAGGATGTCGTCTGGTTGATTAATCCAAGTTTTCAACACTTCAGTCTCAACTTCCTCTTTTTTTATTTTTACTGTGCAGGGAGTATCGCTTCAATAAATAAATTTAAAAAAAAAAACACCTTCCTGGAGGTTTTGAGAACTGTGACTCGACTCTCACCCTCAGCTCATCCATGCAGTCTCCCTCAGGGCTTTGCTCCACATCAAAACCCTCGGAGAAGTGCAGCTCCAGCTGAAGGTGGTCCTCCACAGACAGGGTGTATTTACAGTTGGCATTTTCTGCATACTCTCCAGGCCAGAAAGGACTGGATATCTGGCCTCTTTTCAGCCCTGACAGGTTCTCACCACAGTCCCCTGTATTTAGGATGACACAAGCTCATTGCCAACCTGCTCATCGCTTTGCCAGAGAGATTAAACCTGACTAAGATCAGCCTCCATTTCTTCCAGACCTTCCACTTCTGCTTCTCCTATTTCCAGTTCTCACTTCGTGTTTCGCTTTTGTCCTCCTCCCTTTGTCATGTTAGACATTGACGTTGGACAAGGACACCTCTTACCCGCACAAGTGTGTTTGTCCTCGTCCAGGTGGTAACCATGACGACAGGAGCAGCGGTAGCCTCCGATGAAGTTATGGCAAAAATGAGTGCATTTGTTGATTTCCTCATCCTCACACTCATTAAAGTCTGCAAAGTAAAAAAAAAAAGACCCTGAACATCTTTAAGATATGTTCGTTAAAGTATTTACTAAATATTTATATTAAACATTTATTTTGATCGTCTGACTGAGACAAACATGTTCTGGAATTTTATGTAATGTCTGTCCTTTGTGCTCCAACTATTAGATTTAGGTGGAAAACAGACTGAAGTGGAAAGGCCCCAGAATTTATTTCTCTTTTTGTCTCCGATTCGATAACAATAAAGTCACCACTTTATGCTTCCTACTTTGTCTTAAAGCCTGGAAAGTTATAAAAATGTACTTGTAGCGTATGGGCAAATATTTCCAGGCTTAATTTATCCTCCAATAACATAAAATATAAAAAAAGAGAACTTCTAGAAATTCAGTTTTTTTCATTCAGCAAAATTTCTACTATATTAAAAATTTCTCTGGATTGTCAAGGTCAAACAATAGTGGGACAAATTTTTCTTTTTATTTAAGTAAATTTATTTAAAATGTACTTTTTCTCATGAGGTGTGGTTGGTTTGGATTTATTTTTCAAAGTAAATAAAATAAGAATTTGGTAGCTAATTTGTCTATTTATTCAGGTTATCTTTGGCTGATGTTAAAATCTGTTTTATAAACAGAAACATTCTAATTTAGCAAATTAGAAAATTGATTCGAATGAGGCATATTTTTGTTTTGAGGCATTTACATGATGAAAATGAAAAGGTAGAGTACACATGAACTAATTTACATGTACAACGAAACTGTTTCCAGTTCAGTTTTGGCAGCAGTTACTCGTTGTCTGAAAATAAACCTGACCTTTATCTGAAGTGCATTAGGTCACCTGAGCTGGACACGAAACAAGCTAAAAACATTTGCTGAACGTGGAAGTACGGATTGTTTCTCGTTCTCACCCTGAAGCGTATAAAACCCTCTGAAGCCAGTGTGTCTCTTGGTGTTGGAGTAATCGGAGTGAAACAGAAGAGTGAGGCAGCCGCCAGGGGAGGAGAACAGCAGTGGATTCACCGTCTCATGAAGCTCCTCATAGTCTCTTTCCCCACACAGAAGAGCTATCAGGTTCCCATTTGATGAGATCTGGGTGCAAACACGACAGACAAGATATTTTTATCAACTTATTCACAGCAGTTTTCTGCAGTAAGAGATGAAGGCGTCATTAAGCCTGACCTTCACAGCATCATTTTCACAGTCTTGGCTGTTCTCCAGGTCCAGGTGGATCAGTCTGATGGAGACGGTTTGACCTTTGGGCGCGCACCTGGTCCAGTTTAAACTGGTGTGAGGCAAATACCCCTTGGGATACCCAGGAGACTCCACCCATCCCAACAGCGTGGAATATGAGGAGCAGGGCAGCAGAAGAAGAAAGAGACTGAAAGAATGTGCAAATATTGCAAAGGAAATATCTTAATTACAAAATCTTAGATCATAAAAAATTAAAATGATAATATCCCAAACCATGAGTTTCAGGGAAAGTTTGGTAAACTTTCTTTGCCGAAGAACATGTTTTTCTGTGAAATGTAACTCCAGATTAATCACAGACAATTTGAACATTTATGAATTTTTCCATGTAAGTAATAAAACAATTAATCGCATAATAAATTGAAACAAGCTCAATTATTTTCACTTGCATCATAAATATTTTTTCTCTTTTCTTTCCCTTATCTTACGAAAACCTGGATGACTGAAGTCTTCAGTCTGATGCTTTGGTCTCAACTAGCCTTTTTGTTTGTTGTTTGTTTGTTTACAGAGATTTAGTTGATTTTATTTATTGTTTCTGTTGTCATATTTAAAATATCTTCCAGTTCTGGTGTTAAATGTTCATTGGAATTGTAAATTTATTGCTCTTTGTGAATGTGTATCTTTGCACTATTATGCCATTACCGTCAAATTCCTTGAAAATGGTCTCAAAAAAACAATATGATCGTTTATCACAATAACTTGTAGGACAATTTATCATACTGAAAAATGCATTATTGCGACAGGCCTAAGCAAATGTTTTAAAGAAAATGCAGGTCTGGAAACTAGAATAACTGCTTGACAAGTTATTGGCTTGTGCTCACAAACCAGCCAATCCAGGAGCTGCATTTATTTCCCTTGATGCTGATTGGTTGTTTCCCAGGAGGAAGACTGTAAATGTTAGCTTTTACAGTAGAGCTGAGACAGTTTCCATTGTGCATATTAATGTAAATTTGGTGTTTTAACTCTTTAAGTCTTCTTCTAACTAAGTATCTGCAGATTTTAAATAACAATAGCCAGCTGTGGTTCATATGAACAATAAAATTATTATTTTATTGTTCAAAAGTCTTGAACAATAAGACTTTTGCTTCCAAAATGTTACCAATCAATATTTCTGATTATTTTATGGTTCTTTTCCTGTGTTTATGCTTCAGTACATTAGAGCAAGGAATCATTCAGACACAGAGATTTCTAAACTGAAGGGATGAACAAAGGTCGAGTCTTCACGTAACACACAACTTGTAAATTTATGAATTTAGACATTTTTCTAATTTCTTAAGCTGAAACGTTAACGGATATCAATGATAACTTAGCACATAAAATTGTATTTTTGCCTCCAGCGAGATGATTTAAGCTCCTTCCTCTGTTATCTTTCATTAATAATTCACTGTTCAACATGTTTAGCAATGTTAGCAGGCAGGAATAATGGCTCTATTATGTTCTTTCATACATGTATGCAAATTTTCAAGATAAAACTCACCTCTTTAAAGAACTAAATTAGTGTTCAGTGGGTCTACTGTGTAAAGTTAATGGGAGAGGCTAAAAAAAAAATTGCACAATAGTATCTGTTGCAAAATGCTGACATCTGGTAATTATTTGATACCGTTGCATTTTTCCACGCAGAACTGTGGATCGGTATCAAACTGCAGGACTTTTCGTCTTTGCTTTAAATTTGATCTGTGGAGCATTTCAAGAGGAACCATGCTGAATGTCATGTTGACATGCCAGTTACAAAGAAAAAATTAATTTCAGGAAGTGCTCAACCGAAGGTTTGCAGCAAACACCACAGAGGTTGAAAACACACGTTGTGAGGAAAAAGAAGAACTACGTATCTGGAGAGACTTTGTGTTGCCAACTCAATATCAATAAAACCCAGAACGGAAGAGCTGCTATCACCATTTAGTTATCTATAAATTAATGCAAATGCAATGAAAAGTTGACAACAGGTGAGAGGAACAGTCACTTTCATGATGAATCACTTTCCCTTATGCAGGAAAGAAGGTTCAGACGAACAGTTTTATGATCCACGATGCTACGTTTACTTCTACAGTGTATCTATCATTTCTGGCATCTTTAAAGAAAATAACACTCAGATTCAGGCAACTAAAACGGCTACATTTTGGAAGAAATGCTACAACAGTAGCTAAAAAATTGTCAACTAAGTATTAGCAAAAGTTTTATTAGGACTCTATTTGTCACTGCCAAAAACTGCAAATCAAGTGACAGAAGAGAACTTTTGATGAACATTTTTATTACTTTTGCATATTCTGACAGAAAAACACAGAAAGACGCACAACAAAATACACAATTAAAGTGCTGATTACCACATGTTAAACTATTTGCATTTATAAAAATGTAAAAATCCCACCTTAATCTGAACATGGCAGCACAATCCTCAGATGAACCGTCTGTATTCCTCCTTCCTTTTTTCCCCTCATTAATTTACTCTCTGTTCTCATCCCCCTCCTTTCCCCTTGCCTCCCCTCTTCCTCTCTCGGTTATAAGTTGCACCGGTAAGCATTTATGAATCTATTTAAGTACAGCTGTGTTTGTAAAGTGATGTGAAAGCACAACCCCCCTCAAATTTCCTCTTATATCTTTACAAAAACAAAAAAGTACTTCTATTTTCAAGCATGAATTTTATCTATTCAGATCTTTAAATTGCAAATTAACTTTGAACTGAGCTCAATTTCACCAAACGAGCTCTGGCCTCGTTGCCACGAAACATATAAAGTCTAGAAATAATTTAAGTAGAACCTTTCTGGCAACATGAAGGGGCTAAAAGACCAAAAAAAGCAACACATTGTGCCATCATCTAAGAAATAAAGTCAACAGTTGTAAAAAAAACAAAAAAAAACATGCATGTACATACATGTACACGCGTACGCAGTCTTGCACTGCAGTCAACAATGCAGAGTGGCAAACATGAAGATTGAAGATCAGAAAGATTAGAGAGCTCAACAGCAAATTTATTTAAAAAAACAACAAAAAAAAAAACAAAGCAATGGACGTTTCAATAAGACCAAGGTAGTATGTACATATTGGAACAGTGAATTATTCTTATACCAAAGCACAACTAGCTAGTTAATATTTCTAAATTAACATTTAAAACAAAATCACTTCTTTGAAACCTGAAAAACTAAACTTAAAATTCAAGCACAGTGACTAATTGTGAATAATTGGTGCTTTTTATGATTATTAATCTGAATAAAAAAGTCTTCTTAAATCTTGTAAATCTATGCATAGCTATTGTTTTTACAAAAGAGGAAGACAAGATTGAATTGTTTAAAAGTGTTTGTGTGTTCGGTTCAGTATTATGATGGGACAGGATGAAAACTGCATTGTGGAAGAGTCCCAAAGGTAAAACTACAGCTGACAAAACAACAGCACAAAAGGACCATCTGACAAGAAAACAACTGATGATCCTCAGGGCCGTTTGAGGGAAGAAACCAAGGAGGAACCATTGTGCAGATTGGGTTGGATTGTGCAGAAGGACAATGATGCAAATCTGCAAACCAGCAGGTTTACCTCCCGAAGGCAAAATTAATATTTTGGACTGGCCTAGTCAAAGTTTGAACTTTAGCATCTTAATTGTGGCTAAATTAGAAAAAATCTACAAAGAAGATTTGGCTGAAGTTCTTCAACAGCGACGTAAAAGAGTCATTTCCAGTCATCGGAAAGGGTTGATGCAATGGTGGAACAAAGTTATGTTTCACTGTTAACGACTTTTTACACAAAACCTTTTTTCCCCATCACCAAATTAAATTTGTCACCTGAAAACAACTTTTCATTTGATATTAAGCTTTGTTTGAGGATCTGAAATTGCTCAGTATGACAGAAAAGCAAATCCATTTTTCAACAGCCTGCATATTTACTGTAATGAGGTGAAGACTGGGGCAACAGGGTGAGAGGAAAACAAGCTGGCCTTGAAGTTTTATCTCTGCTGCGCTCCAGCTCTGCTTTGACAAAGGTTCGTTGATAGCAATAGAGGCAAAGCAAAAAGAAATGAGTGTACACAAAGAGAGGAAATGTCTCATTGTATCACACAGCGCTCGGCACACACAGTACCTTTGGGTTTACAGCTGCGGAAACACTCACAGCGTTCACACCGCCAGAGAGAGAGAGAGAGAGAACCAGGACCGGAAGGAAACGAGGACCGACACAGAAAGACGTAGAGACGGAGGGGAAAACGGCATATGAGGGTCAACGGGGCTTTCCATTGTGTAGGATCAGAAAAAGTAGGGAGGGAAAAGAAATCTGCTGCCAAAGCCAGATCTTACATGACAGAGCGAGGAGCGTGAGTCAGAGAGACGCAGAGTTTCACCAGAGACCGAGGCTGGAAACCCAAAGCTTGAACTTCTACACTCAGGAGGAAGACTGTGATCAAATGTGCTACTGATGGCAAATACAACCTGTGAACAAAAGAAGAGTAAAGATGGACATTGTTGTGATCTATGTCCTGCAGGTCAGTGAATCAGCCTCCTTTTAGAAATCTTATAAAAAACAAAGCTTGTTGCAGTTGTTACATCTTTGCTTCTTTCGACTTTACACAGGAAAGTTCGTAGCTGAAGATTGTAACGCCACAAAAGAAACAAAGTGTAAACCTTGTCCTGAAGGGTCTTACACAGAGCACCGAACTACCTGAAGAAATGCATTGGCTGTAGTTCCTGCGGTAAGTCACACACATTTAGAAACAGCACATATGTGAACCATTTATCTCTTGTACTTTTGTTTACAACCTTTAGAAACTACAACCAGCTCAGCCTTATTACTGTGCTCGGAGAAAAAGTTACTGGATCCTTACTGATTTCTTCTGTTTGCCCTTTTGTCAATGCTTCATATCAAACAAAAGTGACTATTAGATGTAAAGAAAAAAAAAAAAAAAAAAATAGTTAATAAAATGGTCAAGGAGGAATTTTGACTCACCTTCCTTGCAGAATTGTTACATTCAGCTACATTTGACAGTTTGAATTGCTTGTTTAAGGTCACAACAGTCCAGACTTTGACTAGGCCATGCCAAAATGTTTATTCATTACTTTCTCAGAGGTGAACTTCTGAGAAAGTTCACCTCTGAACTTTCTCAGAGCTTTGCATCATCATCCTAGCCCCGGGGTCAGCAACCTTTTCAATTCAAAGAGCCACTTTTGCCATCGATACTACAAAATTAAATTTCTATGCAGCTGAAAAAAATAAAAGAAACTTTGAATCATAATGTCACTTTTTCTTATTGATATTATGATCAAAACATGTCTTAATTGGTTTTTAAGAGCCAAAGAGCCGCATACGGCTCAGGACCCGCAAGCTGCAGACTCCTGACCTAAATCAAGTGTTTTTGAGCTCAAGGTCATGAACTCATTGTCTCCTTCAGAGTTTATTTATTTTTGCCTGCAAGGAGAATTCATGGTTTCAGTCAAAACAAGTCATCCTGAGACAAGGAGGAAAGCAGCTCCAGATGGCTGGTATGCGGTGTATTCTGAAAACTTGTTGGTTTACGCTGTAAGATGCACACTTTCTCACTTTTGTCCAGACTGTCCCAGATTTCAAAAAGTTTTGGGAGGTTCTTATTTTCTTTTCAACCCTGGATCTCCCCCACAGGCGCCATTTTCACCCAGCTTTTTCCCTTTTGTTGATTCACGATCTCTGGTCATCAATACCTGAAGTTCTCGAGACATCTTAAGTTGTGGATGTTTTTTGGGTCTCCATTGTTTAGCATCCTGGGTGTTTAGCATCCTGGGTGTTTAGCATCCTGGGTGTTTAGCATCCTGGGTGTTTAGCATCCTGGGTGTTTAGCATTGACGCTCTCATGGAGTGATTTCTGTAGGTTGGGAAGCTTCACCCAAACTGTTCCATGTTTTCTCCACTTGTGGATAAAGTCGCTCACTGTGGTTCCCTGGAATCCGTTTCCAGACTCATTCATGTGAATAACTTTCCTTCTCTTCTGTTCTTAAACATTTTCTTCTTCAATCAGAGATCTTTTATCCTACTTCATGTTGTCAGACACAACCCATTTATAGGTGATTTCTTGATTGTATGGGTCTAGCAGTAATTGGGCTAAATTTTATATTTATGTAATTTTCAAATTGGGCCTTGCTGATTTGGATAACTTCTTCCCTTGGTACATAAATTAATTTTTGTAAAAATGTCTTTTAGCTACCAGGTTAGTTTGTTACATGATCTGAAAAACTTAAATGTGACCAAATAAAGGGAAAACAGAAGAAATTGGTAAGGTTGCCAGCAGTGTTTTTCACACCACTGCTAATTCCCTTAGCAACGTTGGAACATCTTCTCCTTAAGCTAATTTGAAAGTATCTACAGTGTGAAAATAAAGGAAGGAAGCTGCCTGGTGATAAGTTTTAGTGCTGACAGTTTCTACTGTAACCTAAACACCCACACACACATTCTCAGACTGGCTTTAAACACCTTCAAATCACAAATTAACAGTAGAAAATCTCTCCTTTTCAACCTTATAGTTAAAAATAGTCAAATAAAGAGCAGCTGCACGGATAAGAAGAATACAGTTTGTGAGTGTGAGCCAGGTTTCTTCTCCACCCGTGAAAACGTTGATCACTGCGATGCCTGGACTAAGTGCCCTGTGGGTGAAGGAGTCAAAAATAAACGTAAGTTTCAAAACAGATCAGCCTGCTCTCTTGCAGAGATTCTCATCCCTGCGTATGATAACTAAAAAACAAGACGGCTCGGCCTTTGACTTCTCTTCACAGCCACTTCTACAAACGACACAGTCTGCGCTCCGTGTGAACAAGGGACCTACAGCAACGTCACAGATTTCTCCTCACCTTGTCAACCGCATTTCAGGCAAGTCTGAACCCCTTTTAGTTTCTCATCATGTCAATAAAGAAATATTTTATTAGTTGGGTGAAAATAATCAGACACAGCTATAATTCACTGTGGGAATAAATCATTCATTTATTCCTTTATTATTGCTTTCAGGTGTGAGGCCTACGGACTACAGGTGAAAACTCCAGGAACCAAAACAACAAATGCCGTCTGTCAAGAATGCAAATCTCGTAGGTCCACCTCTCTAGATTTTGACATTTTGTGCATTATTTTTGACTAACATGTCTGAGATATGATGTCGGAGGGCTTAGCGGATGTGACTCTCAGGGATCCGGTTGAGCTTGAAATAGGAGAGGAAGTGGAAGTGGCATGAAGGGGAAACCATTTTATGCAGCGGTTGCAGTTTGCTTGACTCTCACAAGAGACACAGTCCTTTGATTTTGAAGGGTGAAATCACATTTAGGCAGTAAGAATAAATGCATAAATAACGTTCTTTATTGTACAAGAATTTAAAACATATTGTGTGTGGGTAGAGGGCAGAGTTTGAAATATCTTACTCCTTACTGAAGGTGTTGTATCAAATGTGAATGTGTTTATGGGGGAGGTACAACCTTAAACTTGAAATGTTTGGCTCGATGCATGGAGTACGACAGCCTTTCTACTCCTGTCGCTGCTTTACGGACACAGCAGAAAATAAATTTTTTACCATCTCAGGCGCAACACATGGCTGGTGTAGCTCACTGTGACAGAACAGAGCTGACCCATTACTTTAATAATCAAGTAATCTATTGATTACCCTGATGATTATTAAAGTAATCGAATAAAAGAAATTGATCAAATTAAATATTGATAAATGCTGACATAACACCAGTATTAATATCAGATATCAACATCGGCCCAAATTTATATATTTGTGCATCCTAAAAATTACTTTTCTGTAGCTTAAAAAATTCAATTGTAACAACAGTTGTAGCTCATGTTTTTGGACAAAAACTATGCAAAAATTCAGTTTAACATTAAATCAGCAGGCTTGCATAGACACATAAAAAATTCTATACTCCAGTGTTTATGTGTTCATCTTAAATCATATTTATGCTACATTAGAAGAGATCAAATTACTCCTTAAAAATAGAGAAAAACAATTTTCTGGAAGCTCTTTCTCTCTGTGTTGTCGCTGTGCCCACATTTCATTAAATCGATTGAAATTGAAACTCAACTACATGCCAGTCACACGTCTCTTGTTTTTAGAAGTTGGGCATGTGGAAACCCCATGGCCAGGGGGCTTTTTTATTTTCTAAACCTTTAAGTTTCTTTATTTTTATAAGCTGCAACAAAATGTAGATGCAAGGATGCTTTGATAGTATTTCCCATAAACAGATAAAATGTTATACATGAAGGGAGTTACAAATATCCAAATGTTTTTAGGCAATTAAAACACTGAAACTCGTATCTATTAGAATAATTAGTTCTGCCAATATGTCATCTTTGTTGCCGTTTTTCATGTTTAAAGCATTTTGATCCTCAAAGAGATCAAGGCGTGTCTGTCAAATCCTATGTTCTCCTGCCTTTCCCATTTTGTAGAATGACTTTGACCTAGTATGAGGGTCACATGAAGGGAAAATAGAATGGTGGACATTTTTCTCTTTCATTGAGAAAACAGTCAAAATTCTGTTTTGTAATTAAAATAAAAATAATCAAAGTAAAGTGAAATAATACATTTGAAGAAAAAGGAAAACACCAAACATGCATATAAATGTGCATCCACAATTTATAGCTAAAATAAATTCTTTGTTATTAAATCTTACTACAAAGCGTAACGTTTCAAGCTCATTTAAGCAAAAATAAGGTTGCTGCTTGTCAACTTTATTGTTGATGTATTTTTTATTTTTTTGACTTCTCCTCTAATCTTAAAACTGGTAAAAGAAAAAAGAAAAAAACTTTCTCACCCGGGGTTATGAACCACAGCCGCAAAAACCAAACAAACATGAATTAATGTGTAAATAATCTCAGCCCTGCCACCAAGGGAACAATCAATGGTGTGATCTATGAATCAGCTCATTTTCCAGAATAGTTCAGAGTCATAATCTACAAACAAATCTGCGATTACAGGGTATGGCTGCTCCTTGTCATAATTATGAACTGGGGAAACAGAAAATACAGGTTTGCTAACTTTGGTCATCTTGGAAAGTACATTAAAAAAACATGTACTCAAATTAAAAGTTGGATTTTTCAACATTTTTCAATGGGAGATGATGCAACAGCAGTAAAAGTAAAAGACTAATTTCTTCATTCATCTTTGCATTCACTGAAATAAGCTGCGGGGAGCTTTGTAGGTTTTTGTTTTTTTCCAGTAGTTTTACTTTGAGACATGAAAAAGGATTCAACGTCCTGTTTTTTTTTTTTTTTTTGGTCTGTTGTTGGTGATTAATTCAAGAAAACGTCAAATAATGATGACTGGAGACCAGCTCCCCCACACTCCATCTTTCCCTGAAGTTAAGCCACTGCTCTGACGTAAATTGTTGCATAACCTTAACCATGTTGTGGTCCCTCTCTGTGAATCAGAGTGTTGCTGGATCCTGCCTGCATCCCTGTGGGCCGGACTTGTTCTGACTATTTTGGTCGTGGCAGCGTTCCTCTTCTGGAGAGCAAAGCGCAGATCCTATAGACCGGGTGAGTACGAAACAACACCCATGTTGGGAGGATTTATTGTTGTTTTTCTCTCTACACAGTGGTTAAAAATAAATCAGAAGAGGCGAGCTGCTCAATCGCAAAAACTGCAGTGAGACTCGCTTGCTTTGAAGTCACACAGTTGAAGGTCATAGAGCTGTGGTTATGGGAAATTACATTTTGATCGCACATTTTTTTTACATAAACAGAACTTCAATGTTATACCTCTGAGTTGTGTTCTGCTAGATGTCACACAGAAGCAGCAGATCCAGCAGATAAAGCGACTGAGTTCACATGTGTTTAGTAAAAAAAAAGGCTGAACAAAGATGACGAGCTCAATGGAGAAACCACATCCTGTACAGTTTTAGCTTGACACAGTTCTTTGGTATGATGTGACGCACACTTCACAGGCAGCCAACTCATACTGAGATGGCTGGCCTACGTATGTGGCATGATGGTGTTACCTATTAGTTTTTGGCTGACACTAAAATTTAATTGGCATTTGCCTATTTTCCATTTAATCTCTATGTTCATACAATAAGAGGCTTTTATCTTCTGTGTTTTCACCCAAACTGGATCTCGCTGCTCTTATCAGATGCAGTAAGTACAGCTGCTGATAAGGTTCACTGATGCACACTTCTTGTTTTTGTTTTTTTTTTGTATCATTGCATGTCTGTGCTTTCCACATGATTCAACCTGTGTGTCAGTAGACGTCTTCAAAAGCTTCTTTAGGAGAAATTGCAGAAATACAAAATTTCCTCTTCATTTACAGGGTCATATCAGTTTCAGTTTTACTCGAGGAGATTCAGAGAATTTCTGTTTATTAATGAAGAATTTGTCAAGATGCAAATTTACATATTTTTGTTCCTTAAAAAAAAAGTTTAATCTTATTTTTTGAGAAACGGTTAAAAATGCAAAACGCTGCTCAGTCTTATAATCACAGCCCAAAGTGAATGTAATACCAACCCGTCGATGGGCTTTTTTGGACACATCAAAACATGAAGAATAGTTTTAAGGACGACTTAAGATTATTTGGTTAGAGCAATTAAATACATAACACTAAAACAGTTTTCTTGAATAAACTTTTAAAAACCCACCTTTGAGTTTAGCTCAGCATTATTTCACCTAATCATTGCAGAGCCACTTAACATATTTTCTCCCAACAAACAGTTTTTATGTTAACCTGCAGAGCAGAAAATATTTTATTGAGGCCAGAAATGTGGATATTGATGTAGATAAATGAGCAAAATGTTGTTGATAATTTAATTCATACATACAATATGAACATATTAAACCTGAAGAGTGGATGATTTACAATTTCTTCAGCAGGAAAATTAGATATTTATTTATTAGGCTTTGATAATAAGGAGTATTTGTTAATTAAAGTTGTCTAATGTCAAAATACATTGTTAAATAGATAGTCAAACTGATGCAAAAAGAAAAACACTGGAGTTACAGCTCCATTTTTGATGGTTTTCCACAAAAGCGAATATGTGCATAAAAAATGAAGTTGTTGCTTTGACTGTAGAAATGGATTTTAGCCATTTCTCCTAATTTATGAAGCCTAATAATCTGCTTTAATGAAGTAACATGTTCTCCTGTCTTTTCAATCTTGAAGAGCGACTAATAGAAATGGATCTACACGTCATTCCATATTTATAACGAAAGGAAACAAGAAGCAACTTTTATGCAAAAAATATTTTTGTTAAAATTTTTAGGACTTTTTAATGGATGTCACTCATTTCAGGGTCGGGAATTTTGTTAAACTAATTATTTCAAAACTTGGGTCTCTTTAACTCTTGTGTAAGTGGAATCAAATAATAGAGAGGCCGAGAAGAAGAGTAGACCGGCTAAGAAGAATGAAAACTCTAGAAAAGACATAAAATGAGAACAATTAACACAAAGAAGCTGAACTATAAAACTTCAAAACAAGCGAAAAGGTCAAGACTGATCTAAGAAAACAAAATCCAAAGTGCAAAGAGCAGAACACAAGAAAAAATAAAGAAACTAGCACAAAGGAATGAACTTGAACAGTAATGAAACAACCAAGAGAAACCAAACATTTGTCGTAGCTCCAATTACAGATTCAATCAAGATTAAAAATATCATCTGCAAGAGTTTAAAGAACATTGTTGAGTTTTTGACATTTTTACTTGTAGTGTTGATAAACATCATCTTTACAGTAGGTGAGGTGAATGACTCACACTGCGATCAGCAGTTAAGATTGTCAATTAAATTTATCTCCGATTTGTTTCCTCTCACTGAAACCAGACAGCGAGAGGTTATGACAACCACGTAGCCTAGACGTGAAGTTTTACATGCCATGCTTGTCTCTGTGTTGCTATAGATACATGATTGTAATTTTTCCACGCTGAGTGTGCAAGACTGCTGTTTTGACTCAAAGGTTACAGAAACCTTCCTGAAAAAGGAAAACCTCTGCAATACGTCGTCTAAACTTGTAGTATCGGTTTAACATTGAGTCACTGAAAGCTGCCTTACCTCTAAGCATGTTCTATAAAGTAATCATATCGGACAGGTGCTTTTTTTAATTTGAAGGTGACGCAGTCTAACCCCTTTTTAGGAGGGAATTTTCAGGACACGTGCGTCAATGTGACAAAAGGAAATAAAACAAAGTCTCAGGTTTGTGTAGGTTCATGTCTGTGGAGAAAACCATGAATGGGTTATGCAGACGCTCATGAAGCTCAGAGCTGCCTGTGTGGGGATGAACATATATAGAGGGGAAAGATCGACCTGATTACCATATTCAAGACTTTTTTTTTTAATTAGAGAACAAATCTTCTGGAACAGCAAGCACATCTCACAGATAAAGTCATTTGCATTGTAGAGAAAAACCACAAAAAAACACCACAAGATGTCTGTGAAAATGTTTCCTTATTGACAATCAGAAGGAGACACGTTGCCTGTAAGTTCAGGGGGTTCGCCACCGGATGCAAACCCCTCGTAAGCCTCGTGAGCTGAAAGTCAGGGGTGCAGTTCCCGTAAGCATTCAGAACCAGTTTCTCCACAGATGAAAAGAAAACACACCCATGTGTCTGACTCTGTCTCGGTAAACAGTCACAGAAAACCCACAAGCATAAAACCGAATGTTAATGTCTTTGTTTAGCTCTCAATTAAGATGAGCTGCATGCAGAGAGGGATTTTGGCTTCATGTGCATTACTCTAAAACGCTGACTCTGTTAAAACAATAATTTTCTTCAAAATATCACAGCACTCCAGCTGAGATTGTATTTTATTTTATTTTTTAAAGAAGTACATCGTTCGGATAAAGACGATTATTGAAATGAAAGGTGGATCAGTTTCAGATCAATCTCACAGCATCAACTCTTGTCACGTTTGTGTCTCACTTGTTCTACTTTGTTGTTTAATCTGCATCAGCAGGTTTAACACAGAGCTAAATGATGCTGGAGTTATAGCGCCACCTAACGTGCAACCAGCAAACTATTTCCTTGTTTTATTTAGGAAATCAGAAGCATTGCATTTCACGTGAACTGTTTGATCAGATTGTTGTCGGCATGTTCGAGGCAGAATTGTTTGATTTTTGTAAACGTCGTTGCAGTCAAACGCAGTGTTCCTGTCAGCATGGTGACGGTCGTTGGCGAACCGGTCCTCGCTCCACCAGAGCTGCTGTCTCACTGCCAAGAGAGCTGCACAGACTGCAAGACATCCCCTTTCAACTCAGGTAAATATATGCACCAAACAGAGCCATTCAGTAAATTACATCATTATTAAAAACATTATTTGTTTCATCGATTCACAAAATGAAACATTATCAGTTAGATTGATGTTTTCAAGCCTTCATTTCAGTTAATTATGATGATTTTCCAATCATGGCTAATAAAAACACAACATTTAAAATTAGAATATTAGATCTGACCAATAGAAATAGGCTTAAAAGTTTCTATTTTCAAAAGGTTCTTTTACCTTGAAAAATGAGCCTCACTGGAATAAATCCTGATATTTATTAATCTGTCTATATTACTATAGAAAAATTGATGAACAAACAGAACAAGTAATACAAAGTCTTATTTTCCCGAAGTTTAGCGTTTCACTTCAGTCATTAACTTTTTTTTCTGAAATTCTGACCCACTTTTTAAATGTTTCCTCTTCCTTCACAAACAAGCTCCTTTCGCAAAAGGTCATAACCTCTTCATCAGGATTTCTACTGTCAGCAGATTAGAAATAAAAAAAATGAAGAGCCCAAACATACTGACATACTTTTATACAAATAAACCCCTCAAAGAATAAGATTTCTGTCTCCTGAGTTTGTTTTAACCTGAACCAACACACAAAGCAACTCAAACAAAAGTTGGTGGTTTTTCATTTCAAATATAAAACCACCAAACAAAATATTACCTGTATTTATTTGTTAATCTGCTAATAAGATTTGTTGTATATAATGCATCTTTCTACAATTAGAGGTTAAAAATAAATACAGTTAAGAACAAGTAACAGGGTTTACCCCAGTGTATTATAAGCCTGGCGGGCCACCAGGCTTAACTTGTGCCCCCACCAGGCTAAGCATTGCTTTTGTTTTTTTTAATCTTTTTAAAATGTTTGAATTTTTTTAAGACTTTATAGTTGGCGTTCAGGTATTAATCCTCCAGTATTTTGATAACACATAATTATCAAGTGATATTTAAAAATTTCCTGTCAACTTTAAACATTTTTTAACTCAAAAATATGCTCAGTTTTTGTTTTTTAACAGTCTGGTATGCAGATATACTTTCAATATATGGCGTTATGCTCTCATCAAAAATATAGAACATAATTCATCAAACATACTTTTCATTCAGGTCACTTTAAAAATACATTTAACATGGATTTATTGGTCTGATGTAATCTTTCTCGTTTTAAAGCTTGTTTCCACGTGCAATAAACCAAAAAAAATCATCATAAATTACTGAAATAAAGGCTTGAAACTTAACCTTTGTGAAATTAAACACCTCTGTGAATGGCGTTTAACTTTCAAATAATATAATTTATCTAATATGAATAATTGTGGAGGGTTTTTTGCTGATAGTTTCTCTTTTCTTGGTTTAAATTAATCTCATGATTGATTCTGTCGTTTTCCTCAGATGACGGTTCGATCATTCACAGCATGTCGGACAGCTTGGACATCAGTACTCCCATAACTCCGCTGAAGCCCTCCGTCTCTTTCATTGAACCCGAACAAACCAACGGGAGCTCGATATTCCCCATCAGCAGCACCTTCTGTAGGTCGTACTCGGAGCCCCAGGAGGACGAGTGGTGTGGGACATAAAAAAATATAATAAAATACAAGAGTGGGACACTGACGGAGCCACTGCTGGCTCAGCGATACATTTCAAGTACTGTTTGTAAACCTTGACAAGATTTTACTCAGTAGAGTTCAGCGTGGCTGATAGTTTGCTGCCACCTGCAGGACTTTGGTGGGAACTTCAGTTTGTGCAAAGAAAAATTCTCCTCAGTGAAAACAGCAGATTCTGCTTCAGAAGAGGGATTAAGCTCCACATAATTGGAGAAAAAAAAACCCTGATAATTACAGTTGAAAAAAAACACTGTCTGGAATAGATTATCTAAATCTCTGCCATGGACTTTATTAACGTTCTCCTTCATACAATCCCAAACAGACTGAACTGTAATTACATATCAGCACTTGATGAAATGAGAAACAGAGATATGAACATGCATGAGGCACTAAATGAAGTTTGTTTTACTTTTCATGACCCGTTTCTGTAATAATACGATTTTGTTCAAAATTCAGCCAAGACCCAAAGAGGCTGTGAAACAGCAAAAATGGCTCGTCTAAATATTATGATTAATATTAAGCAGTACAAACTGCAGCTTGTCTGTTAAATCTGATGCATTTTTTACATGAATAAATGAGATTAATCTTTGTTACAAAACTCCAGGAAGTTAATCTTTCAAATGAATGAAAACATCTTCCTATTCCTGATTATGAATCCTGAAGAGTTCATGGTGAAAGCTTGGACTCACTGACAGATTAACATTTCTTCATATTTTCAGATATTCTAGACAGATGGTTCTGTTAAACAGTTAGAAGCAGCCAATATCGTACCTCAGGCAAATATATTTAATGGCTTTTTCATTTCATACAAACCCAGATTTTGTTGGTCCTGGAAGATTTAGCTAATGGCCCGTCTAAGAAAGGAAGATGTGAACTTCAATCCCCTTAAAACAAATCCAACTTTGAAAACGTTATGGTGAACTTTACAGCTTCATTGAGATGTGTCGCCTGCACAAAAATCCAAAATAACATCTTTTATTTTGGAAAACCAGCTTTAATTTTGATATTTCTTATTTTGTAAACTTAATGGCCACCTTTGTTTAGTGCTAAAAAGAAGAGAGACTGGTACATAACGAAACAACTTTAACAAGATATTGACCTAAATTATTTTAAAATACAAATTAAAGAGGATTCTTCAGATTATGAAAATTGTGCTGTGAGCAAAAACAATTCAATTTAAATAATTGAATTAAAATGTAGTAAAATAAAAGACCTTTATCAATTTTAGATCGAATTTATTTGCTCAGGAACAAGCACTGCTTTTGAAGATAATAAACTTCAAACGCAGAGATTTTGAAGTTTAAATAACTAAATATAGACTTGCAAAAACTGTTTCCTGTTTTTTATTACCTTCATGTTAGCATTAAACCATAAAAAGAGATGAAAGCTGAATTTTAAACAGCCTAATTTTTCTATAAATTAGTTACTCTGACTGAGATCAGGGATCTCAAACTCCAGGCTTCAAGGGCCGCTGTCCTGCACGGTTTAGATGTGCCACAGGTACAAAACACAGGAATGAAATGGCTTAATTACCTCCTTCTTATGTAGATAAGTTCTCCAGAGTCTTGCTAATGACCTAATTATTATATTCAGATGTGGTGCAGCAGAGGCACAGCTAAAGGTTGCAGGACTGCAGTTTGACACTTCGGCCCGAGATCATTACAGGGAACACTGCCTCTTGCCACCATTTCTTATATTAATAATCTGATTTTTCCAATTTACTTCACAATGCAAAGATCCAACAGTCTGAATGTTCATAAAATAACATTTCCTAAAGCATTTGAGACTTTGCTGTTGTAAGAGGCTAGAAATCAGTTTTGGTCTCGGCCTGCAGAACAGATGTTAGTTTCAGAGTCCAGGTCCAACTAATCTGGATTAATACTTAATAAAGATGAGACTTAACTGCAGCAGTTAAGATATTGAATCTTTCTAACCTTTAACAGAACCTTGCTTCTGACACCCTGGACTATTTCTTCAGCAATTAGTCCATTAGCTACAAGAACAGTGAATGTGTGTTAAGGCCATGTTTTAAAAATTGGAAAATGAGAATGAATGTCTGCATTTTACCATTTGATGTGTTGTCTTGATACTGTTGAGTTGGAAAAAACTACTCAGCTTTTTTATTTTCTTTTTTTACAACTTTGAAAGCAGAGTATGATTTTTTTTTTCTGAGATGAACTCTTATTACATTTGTTGGATCACTGAAATGATTGTATCTTTGTATCTTGCAATGTAGATTTTACCAATTTCAACCACAGATTTTTAGTATTTATAACAAATAAAACATGTAAAGATATACTGTAATAGTACCAGACATTATTAATTGTCTTTTAACATAATGAAGATGCAAACGCAAAACATGACAAGTGTAAGATATGCTGTGCAATACAAGGAAACAACTTGGGGATGTTTACATGTTCTTTTTTGGGGGGCTCTTCAACTGTCTAAATACCATCACACTGGATATATGGTCAACAGTGTTTATACTGTCATTATGATCTTGAAGAGTTTTATGACTGTAATAAAAGTGCTATAGACATGATTCAGTTCTTGTACCGTCTACTTTAATACCAAGCTGTGTTGCAGCAGATTTTCAGCAACTTCAATCGGCCTTCTGGAAGACTTGCTTGGCAACGATGCCTTGAACTCTCATCTCCTGCAGAGAAGAAATGGAAGAGATGGAAGAGATGGAAGAGATGGAAGAGATGGAAGAGATGGAAGATTGAGGAATAGTCAGCAAAACAGGAGCTGCGTTTCCATTCACCACAGAATTGCACAATCTGAAAATACGAAAACCAATCTGCTGAAAATGAAAGATGATAGAAAAGTTTTAACGTTGGGATGAAATCGTTTTTCAGCCGAACAAAAGTACCGCAATGGAAACACTTTTTTTCACGTCACACCAGTCACGTGATCAACAGTGACAAGACACCTGGACATTACTACTGACGAGGACGAAGAAGTCGACAGGAAGTAGTAGGAGGTAGTGGTTTGTTTCTGCTTTGCGTTTTGAGGGGGGGAGAAAGTGTCCGATTACAATTTCCCTCAAACGCCGCATAGCAGCTTGTCACTCCAAAGGTTGAATCAGATGTCAACGGCTGATAAGCCTGCCATGATTTTTAAGGGCTTATCACGTAAATTTAAGCTTATTTACGTGTGATTTTAATTTCATTTATTATTCAATAGAACAACCTAAGATGCAAAATGGTGGGGGGGTTTTTCTACATCAGCAGAATATCGACAAAGATGTTTGCACGTTTGTAATGGAGAAGCAGCTACTTCGGCAGCTAAATGAGAGATACTCTTCACTTTCTGACCCCTTAATCTGTCACCCTCTCTTTCACCATGCACTCATCTTTTCCTCCCTCCCCCATCCCTCCTTTTTCCACCAAATTGTCAGTCCCATGCTGTTCCCCTCTCCTTCTGGGTTCAACCTCTAAAACCCAGCAACTTAAAACTTGATCCTCACCGGCATTTCTTTCCCAACTCTCTGCCAAGCTTAGCGTCAACAACGCGTTGTTTTGTCCTAACCGCAACAAAGGCATTAGCAGAACAATGCTGATTGTCTGAAATTCTTCAGAAGATTTTAATCTATTTAGGGAATGAAACCCTGTTAGGAAACGATGGTGCTGCAATGAATGAATAACTTGCCTTGTTTGCATGACTTCCTTCATTATGCATATCAATGGCAGCATCATTTTTCCTTTTCAGGATTCAACTTTCCTTGTTCCGGCTCTTTCCTCCGTCCCTCCCCCACATCCTCACCAAATGGAGCTTGTTGCCTTCCAGCCAGTGGGTCCAGCCTCGTCCCTCTTTCTCTCCTCTCTGTACACAAACAAGTTTGTCTCCTTCCCAGCTCACTGTAGTCTGAAAACAGAACACAAGTTGGTTAAATCTCCTAAATTATTGCAGCTATTTACACATAAAGAGGGTCCAAAGTATTTGGTTCCAGTCCTGGTACTGCTTTCTGCAGCTGATTGGCACTTTGCAAATGTCAAAGTATTTAATTGGGATTTTTAGCAACACAAATGAGAAGTGGACATATTTATTTGCCGAAAATGTAAATCTGATATATTCGATATACATAATACCTACTACAGCTGCAGGTTTGGTACATATACTAGCTTTGAACATTTGAAATGCAATGCGTGGCATAAAACATCATCTTAAACATGGCAGTGGCAGCATCATGCTATAAAAGCCTTATTTAAAGTTTCCTTCACATCATTTAGAGCATGAAGCAAACATATAGCCAAATGGGTGCATGAAAGATGTTTGACCTGAAAAATAAAAAAAATTTTATCCCCATTGAGAAACATGATGGTGGTAGCATCATGCTGAAATTATGCTTTCTGACCCCTTATTTTCTGCAACAAGGTCAGAGAAGCAGGTTAGCAATTAATTATTTTTTAGGAATCCATAAAACTTCAGATTATTCTGATGATTAACTGGATACAACTTTTTTTTCATTTAACCCCTTAAACCTTTTTTATTCAATATTAGAAATACATTAAAAAATATAAATGAACAAATAAACTCATTATATGGGATTCCCGAAAATTGTATGTTTCTCAATTCAATTTGTTTGAATCAGAGACACAAAAGGCACTAAAAGCTGCATTTCCAAATGTTGCAACTCTTTGCTTCCACTCCTCAATTTTCTGTTTTGTCACACAAAGGATCAAGGAGTTTGAATAAAAAAAACTGTAAAAAACAGACTGTGGTTCCAGTAGCAGGGGGATGATTATCCTGAGGAATTTCACACACAAAGCAACATTTCAGCAACAGATGAGGTCACAGACACGCCCAGACACACACCTGGCAGGTACGGCCGTCCACAGGTCCCAGGTCCTCCGTGAACTCTTTCCCGATGGTAAAGTCCATGTTGAAGTTCTTGAAAGTGGTGAGGGTTCTGATCTTCATGGCCCCCGTGGCCGGGTCGTGGGTGATCTCCTTAGTGGGTTTCAGCAGACAAACAATCTTCCTCAGGGCGAAATTAATATCTGAGGGCAGAAATGTTACCAGAGCTATTAGGGACATTGTCGATAGAAAAATAAGGAGCATCTCCCTGCCATTTAAAAAGAAAATAGAAAAAAAAAGACATTTTTTTGAAAATCAAAAATTTGCCAGAAAATACTTTTGATCACAATCTCAGAAATAAAAATATATATTTCTGAGTTTCAAAAGGTGAACATTTCAGAGAAAACTCAAAATTTTTTAGCTTAATCTCAAAAATTCCCAAAAGCATGTTTCAGAGATTAAGTTTAAGATTTCTGAGATTTTCTAACAAAATTTGACTTTTCAAACTATTTTTGTCCAGAAAATTTCTGAGATTAATTCCAAACTGAGTTTTTTGAGAAATTTTTCAACTTTTAAAAACGATTTTTATAGACAATGTTTTACTTTCCAAACCCAGAAACGTCTTTGCTTTTCTAGAAAAACATTTTTATAGCCATTTCTGTTCTTTTCAACCTGATACATTTTTTCTGGGATTAATCTCAAAATTTCAGATTTTTTTCCCCAGCAAACTTTTGACTACTCAAACGCAGAAATTTATTTATTTATTCTTCCAAGAACATTTTTGACATTTATCTAAAAGTTTGAAAGATTTTCCAGCAAAGTTTAAACTTTTCAAACTTTCTGAGTTCTCTAGGGAAAAATTACTGTTTTTTTTTTTTTTTTTCTTAAAATCTAACTACAAAGACCATAATCCACCATTGCATATGAAAGCATTTAAATTCAAATTGCATGTGTGTTAAAGAAGAGCCTTGTGAGTGAAGAGCACAAACACACTGCGTGAGTGTGTGAGTCCGGGGGTCATGCAGGGGACAAGATGGTGATTTCATCCCACTAATGTGCTGCTGTCTGTGAATGAAGATGGTCCCCATCACCAAATCAGCCTTTAAACATTATCCAAGCAGATTATCTCACATGCAACATGAAACAAACACACGCACCTGATTAAAATGAAAGCAACAACAATGGTGAAATAGTATCCGCTTTGTTTCATCTTTGATGTGAAAATATTCATAAAAACATACCTAAAGCTGCCAGATAGGTGTCCATATTGTCCTGCTCCACCAGATGATACGTCCCGGAGTAATTGGGTTTGGACATTTTTTCCTGTTGCTCCTTGTGAAACTTAAATATGTGCTTTTCTTTGTTCCCGTTTTTTTTTTTTTTCCTCCAATCGAGCCTCCCTAGTAGATATCACTTTCTCTTGCGTAACCTTCCGCAGAAGAACGCTTTTTGGACGGGTTTGTGCGTAAAAATGAAAAGTTTTTCCCCCCCTGTTGAGCGGGATTGAAGGACGCGGTGATGTTCTCAGCTGAACCAAAGCTGAAGGTCTGCAGCGACTCTAATCTGCGTTAAACCTGAGCAGAGCAACGCAGAGACTTTAGGCTGGGAGTTATTTGCATGCAGTGGGAGGTTCATGCCCACTTTTTTAACTAACACAAGGATGACGCTGCGTTCAGGCGAGCTGGGAAATTCGACCCCTTCACAAAAGGGTTGCTTGTTTTTACGTAGAGGCAAACGAAAACTGCTTAGTAGCAAATGAACAGCATCCATTGATGACAGACACGCCACATAAATTATTACATTTTCTACCACCACGTCGCTTCTGGTGCCGACTCCCCAGAAATCTGAAATCGTTTCCCAGTTGGCTCTAAATGAGGCAGAGATGCGACTTAAGGACATAAATTAGACAAATTAGATGATCCTTTAATTTACTTTTCTCATAAGGGAGCTCAAGCTTTCCACTGTGTGCAATAAACTAGATTTCTATGAATGAATTTATGCAGTAGCATGCAGACCTTTATTGCAGTTGTTCCAGGTGTTAATGACCAGGAAGCTGACCAGTTTTCTTCTAACTTTGACATGCACATGTGGCTTATTGTCTTTTTCCAGGCAGGCAGATTCAAGAGATCAAAGTTCTTCAACAAACGTGTAAAACACTAAGAAGGAAGATTTATGACCTGAACAAACAATGTAGTGCAGCATCCAGCTGTTTTCTATTGGATTATTTCAGCTCACATCAGCCTGTCGGGTTTCTTTTTTCTTTTGCTTTTTTGCATGAGCTGTCTTAGGAATCTGTAGATCTATGTTTATTTACTGGAGCAGCAGAAAAATATATGATGTACAAAAAAAAAGTAATTATGTAAACTTCTAAATTTGGAGAAAGTAATCTATAAATGCCAAGGTGGAAAGACGTCAGCACTGATCTTGGGGAACCACCTGCTTAGAGAGACCATGGATGTCTGTTAAGGTCATGACCCTGCAGCAGCTCCACATCAGACTTTATGTACCTCAGTCAGCAATTTAAATGTCAGTTTAAATGACAGTCAAATTATAAAAAGACTCAACAAGGACGGGTTGTTTGGAAAGGTCATAAGAGTGGAATTCCTTCTCTTCTAAACAAATATGGCTGCAAGACTCTGGTTTGCAAATTTTTTTTTTATCTTTTTTTTCTTTCCGAAGAGTTTTTGCGGCGCTATTGGCTCGTATTTTCGACAGTAGGCAGACAGGAAGGAGGGGGGAAGACATGCGTCGAGGACTGAGGCCTCCAAATGTGGGGCATGCTAACTCCTGCGCCACCACAGCACGCCCCTGGTGTGCAGATCTAAAAAAGAACAACTATTAGAAAATGAACTAAAGAAAAAACAGAGGAATTCCTTATTTCAACTGTTAAGCATGGTGGTGGAGTGGTGATGCTTTGGGCTTGTTTTGCAGCTGCAGAACCTCGTTAGAGAGACATTAGGGGTAGGTTCTCATCAAATCCCATTTTGACAGGTACCTTTGACCTCTATTTACCCCCCCCCCCCCTACACACACACCCCCACACACACACGCACTCTGGCCTCTTCTTTATATCTGCATTCATGCGTTTTGGATTCAGATTTAAAAGAAATGCATATAAAACACCACACATTCAGTTATTAGGTATCAGACTTTAATTAAAGCGTAGGAACCAGAACTTTCAACAAATTATTGTTGATAAAAACTGTAGAGAACATTTTTATTTATTTATCTTTTATCAGAGATTGATTAGATCTATCGATAAGTCGAAGTGAAGCGGGACCATGAACAAGATTCCTCACTGTACAAATAATCTGTTAAACAAACAGACACCATGTTTGTTTGTTCAATTGACTGAAAAAGGTTTTGTGACCTCTGAGCAGCTTAGTTATTCATAAACAAGTGTGCAAAGTTCCAATTATCCAATTATAAACATGCACTACATCCACACTGACCCAGTTGGAGCTCTCAGTACTTGGCCGGCAGATTTGATTGATTTTTTTTTTGTTTCATGGATGGTTTGCTGTTTTGTTTTGTTGGGATTCTCCAGCTCCTCTCTTTAAAACATCTCAAGAAATCAACATTTATTTTTTGTGTTTTCCCAGGAACAAGGAGGACGTCTACGAGAATCTGTCGAAAGGAAAGAAAGATGTGAAAAAATTAAAGTCTGAGAAGAAAACTGGATCGGTGAAGAAAAAATAGACGACACGGGATCAAGGTTTCTTAGTGTCATATTTATGCAGGCATGTTTTTGTTAAGGTAGTGGAGACCACTGAATATAAATTAACTGTTAAAAACGATATTTCATAAAGCAAGTGAGTGGTTGGATTATGTTTGTTGAAAATAAAAGCAGAATATGCAGAACGTTACATCAGGAATAACTTTTTTTTTTAAATAAAACTCTTTTTGATGTAATGGGGACCTGTAGAAGGAGTTGCCTTTTATCATTTAATGTTCTGTTTCTAATGCTGGAGTTTACAAACGAATGTAAAGATAATAAAACATAAATTCAGAAAAACCTCAAAAATGTGGAGTTTCAGTTATGTTCATGCATTGAAATTGTCTTTTTATTGCGCAGGTTTTTAAAGTCCCACCATGACACTGCAGTCAGGCTGAGTTGTAAAGTAAACCCTGAAACACAGCGACTCGTCTTGTTTCAGTCATTTTCCTGTTTTCCTACAAATCGAATCTCGACTTTAATCTGTGAGACACACTGACCCGAGATTCGAACCTAAAATACGATGGCAATCGTAGGAGTTCACCATCGATTCAACCACAAACTAACGAGAGAGAGACATTAGGGGTAGGTTCTCATCAAATCCCATTTTGACAGGTACCTTTGACCTCTATTTACTCCACCCCCACACACCCCCACACACACACACACACACACACACACACACACCCACACACCTCCACACACCCCCACACACACACGCGCACACACACACACACACACTCCACACACCCCCACACACACACGCGCACACACACACACGTGCACACACACACACACACACACACACACCCACACACACACACGCACACACACACACACACACACACCCCCCACACACACACACACCTTCCCCCTCCCTCCCTTCCAGATGTCAGGATGTACCCCTCCTTAAATGAACATTTCTTAGACATCTATTATTCTTTGTTTTCTTGAAAGCTCCTATTGATTTTTTCTTTTTTAAGAGTAATACCAATACAACAACAGTTATTTAATCAAGAAAAATGTATATAATTATATACTATGCCTACTGAAGTTTAAATAGATTTGGAATGGAGATGTTGCTTCTGATTCTGTGTCTGTGTTCAGCCAGGCCTACAACTGGAGGTCTGAGCTGCGACACGCAGGGCCTGCGAGAGAAGGAATGTACTAGTTGCATACTTGCAAACTTTGCAGGATGCAGACAGAATGATAAATTAGCCACCTCGGGGGAATTCAGAGCAAGGCCCCCATGAATTCCCTCTCCTGAACCCTGGTGGTTTTCATGAGACACCAGACCTTACTGACTACTCATATTTAAGTTTTTTTCTTTTTTTTTTTTTCTCAGTTTATCGCTCTTTGTCTAAAGAGTAATTACCTTCAGTTATCTGTGAGCGACACACACGCTTTAAAACACATTTGAAACTCATAGATTTTCTGTAACACTCACTAGTGTGATACATTTCAGTAAATGTTCTCATTTGTACATGTACTTCTTAAGAATATGTGACTGTTTGTAAGCAGGCCAACGGGAGGTTATTCAAATTAGACTTTTAACTTTCCTTGGTTAAAGAATTTGTCCAGAATTTTCCAAATTTATCCTCGCATCATTGTAAATGCTACATTCGTTCAATTTTTTTTCCTGCTGCTGAATCAACTGATCTTCCCAGAGCTTCATGCTTTCTCCAAAATAGTAAACGCCGGTAGAAACACATTTGAAACTCATACATTTTTCTCTGTAACACTCGCTAGTGTGAAACATGTCAGTAAAAGTTTCTCATTTGTAAATTTATTTCTTAAGAATATGTGACACTTATTAAACAGACCTTACTGAGACTACTCATATTTAAGTTTTAGCTTTCCCTAGAGTTGAAAGTTTTTTTCTCTCTTTCTTTCTTTATTTTTTTAACACTGCACAACTACGCTCCGACATGGTAAATTATTTTGTTACCTTTATCATTATCCACTACTTTTGTCTCTAACTTATATGCTGTATGTTTCTCGGCCCAAATGATGCTTTTTTCCTCCATCCATCATTTTACACACTTGAGTGTGTTCAGTAACAAAATGTAGTTGTTGAATTTTCCATTACTGAAGCTTATAAATGATCAATGTAAACTTTCAGTCTGTATTCAGATAGTGAATACAATTCATATTATTTAGATTGGATGTTTTAATGCATGCACTTGGATTTCTATCGATTTATTGAATAATAGTCTGCGTAAATATTTATCAAACTGAATGGCCATTCAGGTTTCATATAATTTTTTTAGTTTGGTTTTTGTTGCACAACTTCAAAATATGCTGGCTATCAACCAACCATTCAATCAGTGATTTTTTTCTTTTTTTTTTAAATAACCCCTCTCACATCTTCTGACAACTAGCCCCAAGTTATAATAACATTAACTAAGTTTTGCTAATGGTGCACTTTACCTAAAAACAAATATTAAAAAAATAAAACATCACTACACAGCCCCTTCTCCCAGAGCTGGTCACAACATGGTGATTGTTTTTTTTTTACCGTTAAAATTATCTACAGCTTTTGTTCCTTGCTTCTCATGATGCTATCTGTTCACTAATGTTCACTAATGTTCACCTCTTGTAAATGATAAGCTTATTAACGAACAATATGAACCATCAGCATGCGTTAAAGAAGATCATATCAGTCAGATGAAGTAAAAATATCATGATACTCAAAGCAATCAAAAATATATTGATCTGAAAGGTAATTTCTCCTTCAGGGAGCTTAGACTGAATGACATTCAGGTTACAATTTGTACAACTGAAGAGAAATGATGAGCAATGTTTTATGTGTTGATGAAAGCAGAGATAGGTGTTTTTCTCTGTAACATCAAAATTTACACTTTACAAAATTTACTGTGCATTTTCCCATATACCA